CTTGGGAGTTGTATCACTGGGTACTTAGCAAGTTGTGCTGGTTAGTACCCCTGACAGAGCAGCAGGTCGTCCAATCTGTGATCAGATGCTCACTTGTACAATACAGGTTGTGTGTTCCAGGAGCTGGGAGAGATGAGAAATCAAGGAAGAGAGGCTTGAACTGGGCTTTGAAGTTCTACTGGGGAGGAGATACAAGAGCTAAGGGAAGTGAGGAGGGCATTCCAGGTCAGGATTGGCTATAACAAGACTTTTATTTTCTTAAACAATTGATTAATTAATTAGACTGGGTGGGATCTTTAGTTGCAGCATCTGTGATCTAGTTCCCTTGAACAGGGATCGAATCTACACTCCCTGTATTGGGAGTGTGGAGTCTTAACCACTGGACCTGCCAGGTGAATCTCATAAGGAGACTTTTAATCTGGTGACTAAAGCAGTGCCTGGCACCTAGTAGGTGCTGAGTTAAAAGTTTTTAGAAAGATTCTTTGAAAAAATTTTATTTCTACATGCAAACTCTGCATGGTCAAGTTGCTTTAAAAGAGACGATCTTGGTGGACTTTTTTTTTTTTTTTTTTTAGGTACAATTGACTTTAAAATCTGTATCAAGATGATTGGATGTATGTATGCATTGTGAAAGGATTGCCCCATCAAGTTAATTAACACATCCAGCCCTTTACATGTGTAGCTTTTTTTGGTGACAGCATTTAAGTTCTACTCTTCTTTCATTTATACAAAACAGCATTATCAGTTGTCTACCATGTTATGTGGTAGATCCTCAGGACTTATTTATATTATAACTGAAAGTTCATACACTTTTACCAACTTCTGCCTATTTGCCCCACCCTGAAGCCCTTGGCAGTGACTTTCTACTGTATTTGATTGGTTCAGTTTTTTCTCTTTTTTTAAAGTTTGCCTGTGTGTGATACAATGCCGTGATTGTCTGTCTGGTTTATTTCACTTAGCATAAGGACCTCCATTTTCATCCATGTTGTCATAAATGGCAAGATTTCCTTTTGTGAGGACAAGTAATATTCGTGTGTGTGTGTGTGTGTGTGTGTATGTATGTATGTATACATATTATCCATTGACGGACACTTATATTGTTTTCATTGTGTATTCTTGGCTCCTTTGGCAAGAATTAATTGGCCATAAATGCATGGATTTATTTCTGGGCTTTCTATTCCATTCATATACCTGTCCATTTCTATGCCAGTTCTGTACTATTTTGATTAGTATACCTTTGTAATACAGTTTGGCATCAGGGGGCTTGATGCCTCCAGCTTTGTTCTTTCTCAAGATTGCTCTGGCTATTCAAGGCCTTTTGTGGTCCTGTACAAATTTCAGGATTGTTTTTCCTTTATCTGTGAAAAATGTCATTGGAATTTTGATAAGGATTGCATTGACTAGATCACTTTGGGTAGTTTGGACATTTTAACAACTTCTGTAATCCATGAGTACAGAAGTTTTGTGATTTCTTTTGTTAACGTCTTACAGTTTTCAGTGTATAGATCTTTCACCTCCTTGGTTAAATTTACCACTAAGTATTTTTTTCTTTTTGATGATATTGTAAATGGGATTGCTTTCTTAATTTCTTTTTCTGGTAGCTTATTCTTGGTGTATTGAAACACAACTGATTTTTGTAAGTTGGTTTTGTACCCTGCAACTCACTGAACTCACCTATTGGTTCCAATGGTGTTTTGGTGGAGTCTTTAGGGTTTTCTATTTATAATATCATTTTCAAATAGAGATAATTTTACTTCTTACTTCCTAATTTGAATGCCTTTTCTTTTTCTTGCGTTAGTATTCTGGCTAGAAAGGATGAATTTCTTACCATAATGATGAATTTTGTCAAATGCTTTTTCTGCATCTATTGAGATCATATATTTTTATTCTTCATTTTACTATTGTGGTATATCATATTGATTGATTGGCTTGTGTTGGACCATCCTGCTTCTCTGGAATAAATCCCAGTTGATCATGGTATATGACCCTTTAAATGTATTGTTGAGTTCAGCTTGGTAATGTTTACTTTTACATCTGTGTTCATCGTGGATATTGGCCTATAATTTTCTTTTCTGGGTCTGCTTTTGTCCTTCTCTGGTTTTAGTGTCAGGATAATGTTGACCTTGTAAAATGACTGTGGAAATGTTCCCTCCTCTTCTGTTTTTGAATAGTTTGAGAAGGGTCAGTATTCATTTTACTTTAAATGTCTGACAGAATTCACCAGTAAAGATATCTGGTCTTAGACTTTTGTTTGTTGGCAGGTCTTTGATTACTGCTTCAGTCTTTTTACTAGTAATTGATCTGTTCAGATTTCCTGTTTCTACATGATTCAGTTTTGTTAGGTTGTCTGTTTCCAGGAATTTATCCATTTCTGAGGTTGTTGATATTTCTTCCTACAGTCTTGATTCCAGCTTGTGATTCATCCAGCCCAACATTTCACATGATGTACTCTACATATAAGTTAAATAAGCAGGGTGACAATAAACAGCTTTGTTGTCCTCCTTTCCCAATTTTTAACCAGGCATTTGTTCCATGTAGTTCTAACTGCTGCTTCTTGTCTTGCATACAGCTTTCTCAGGAGACAGGTAAGGTAGGGTGGTCTGATAGTCCCTAATGTTTATGTTTAGAATTCTGTTTTTAAATCTTCATTCTAGAGTTATAAGTGAACTACTTAGCCCCAATCAGTATTTGAATATCCTTCAGTTAAATTTTTCTGTAAAGAAAGTGACCATGATTGAATGAATAGATTGGAAGTACTGCTCCTCCCTTTAATGTTAAAAGAAAATCTGACTTCCGGGCAGCATTAGTAGGAGTACAATTGGATAAAGGGTTTTTGGAAGGCATTCCGCTTGGTAGTAATGGTAAAAACTTTAAATGAGTGCACACCTTTGATCTAAAAAACCCACTTATAGAAATTTACTTTAAAACCATATTTGCTCATGTTCTAAAAGATTAAATTGTTCATGGTATAACTATATGTGTGTATATATATATATATATATATATGTATTTAAATTTTTTTAATAAGTAAATGTACCTTTTGCTAATGTGCCCAGAACTAGTCTTAAGTGTTTTGCAACTATTGGTCTTAGAAGAATGCTTTGTAGTAGATTATGCTATATACATTGTTAGATTAATGCCATGGTGTTGATAAGGAAGCTGGCAGAGTTTAACATGGCCGGAGTTGCATGCCCGCTAAATGAAAGAGCCTGCCGTGGAGCGCAGTCTGGCTCCGACGTCCTAACCACTGACAGTACAGGGGTTACAAAGAACTCGACAGACTCCGTGATGTCCTGTGCACGGGCGTGAGACCTCCAAACACAGGAGCAGCGAAAAAGGCAAGTAAATGAGCCAGTGCACAGAGCAGATGCCATGCGTGAAAAAATCCACATGTACACACGTGTGTAAATACACAGCGGTGTACCCCAAACTGTTGTTGAGGCTTTGCCTCTAAGGAAAGGAGCATTTTCATGTTTTACTTCTATTACTGAGAATTGCATGTTCCTCTTTTTAAAAAAAAAAAAAAGAAAAAAAACCCATGAAGGTATTTTTAAGTAAAAGAGAGAGAGTCTGAGACATCTCAGTTAAGACAAGCCTTGGCAGTCCCCGCTTTCTTGACTTGGCCCACCAGTGAGTTGCTGCATTTACCAAGATCTCAGGGTGTTACATAGTGAAGAGCCTTCTGTTCTTTATCTCCTTATACTCCTGTTCTCTTTTGTCTTCCCAGAGAGGCAGTGTAAGCCTATCATTTCTTTTCATTACATTGAGCTGCTACATCTGTCTGCATTCTGCAGTATTTTATGATAATAAATGAGCTTCTTTTGTGTGTGTGTGTGTGCGTGTGCACATTTGGGTTGTAGTTTTGTGAAGGTCACTTTATTCTTAACTGTGCACATCTGTAAGAATGTAGATGTTTAGAAGGGTGGGAGGAAGCAGGTGGCATTCAACCTGGATGGTGCCTTGGGGTTGTTCACATGATCTTGGTTTTAGTTAGCAGTTTTCATGAAAGACCTGATTCCCACGAGAAACGTAGATAATGCTAGGTGGAAGGTTGGGAAGATTATCAGAGTAATCTAGAGAAAATCAAGGTAAGTTTGTTACCTAGTGAATTTTTTTAAAGATCCTGTGGTGCTGCTGTTTTCTGGCAGGATATGGTAGTGAAAGTGACAGTGTTAGTTGCTCAGTTGTATCCAGCTCTTTGCTTCCCCATGAACTGTAGCCCACCAGGCTCCTCTGTCCATGCAGTTCTCCAGGCAAGAATACTGGAGTGGGTTGCCGTTCCCTTCTCTAGGGGATCTCCTGACCCAGGGATTGAACCCAGGTCTCCTATGTTGCAGGCGGATTCTTTACCATCTGAGCCTCCAGGGAAGCCCCAGGATATGGTAAACAGAGGTGAAAGGTTGCAATTGAGGTTAGAGGACCCCTGCCCAATCGTTAAATTATTCTTGGAAGTCTACATGATTGTGTCATTCTATCAGACAGAATTTAATATCTATTCTGTAAAATATACATTAGCCATCTAGCACCCTAGTTCATAATGTATATGGATGTCCTCAGAAAACCTCAATATTGTCTGTGAAATGCAGTCTGAAGTTCTTTTGAAAAATCATTCTCAAAAATGGTCTGTGTGGTAGCTTCTTAGCCCAGTGTGGAGATGTTTGGTCTTTGCGTCCCCATCACCTTTATTTGTCATTTGCTAATTCTGATCTGAGGCAGACTTATTAACAGTCATCATTTCATTGATCACTAGTAGACTGCAAGCTCCTCGAAACCAAGGAAGAATGTCTGGGGTAGTCTTTGCATTTCTTCAAGGCCTAGGACAGTATATTCCACATGGTTAGATGATCTGGGAAGACTTAGGAAACTGAACTAATACTAATTAAATTTCGTGGTTGCTGTTTTCTGTGACTTTCTTTCCAGGAACATGTTATGTCGAGACAGCAGCATGTAGGTTTACTGTGTGTTTTGGACATCACAGTTCCCATTTTCTTATTCACTAGGAACTCTCCAAGATCACCATGCCAGTTATATTTAACGAGCCTTTGAGCTTCCTCCAGCGACTCACTGAGTATATGGAGCATACATACCTCATCCACAAGGCCAGTTCGTTTGCTGATCCTGTGGAAAGGATGCAGGTACGTGTCAGCAAGCCCTGGGAAAGACTGAAGTCTTGGAAGGTCTTCTCTGCTACCTCCCCGACCTCTCTGCCCCCAACCTACACGCACAGAATTCATGCTAAGTTTAATGTGAGGTTAGGAAATGTTATTAATGCATTGCATGTTTGGAGTGTCATCTGTGTTCCTTCCCAGACCAGTGAGGATTGAAAGAAAGCAAAAAGTTCCAAAACCAAACCTGAGTTTGGTGAGCTGCTTCTGAGTCATTGTTTTAGAAAGTGGCATTGTGTTGGGGGGGAAGACAATTCAGCCTTTCAGGCTTCTCAAGAGTGTTTCTCGGAAGACATGTATATACATACACATATAAATAAGTGTATTTATGCTTATGTGTATATATAAATATACACATACTACCATAGGTTAAAAAAGAGGACAGGAAGGAATTGTACTTCTTGATTTTTTTGGAAGGGAGATATTCATGTGATGTATATGGATGGACTAGACACAGGGAGCTTGGACACATTGTTCTCCTTCCAGCAAAGCACTAGCATTCTAAATGGAGTCTTGTGTCCTTTCATGTATATAAAGCAGCTTTTCCCAACCTCACTGGACTTGATACCAGTTTGTTTGGTTTTCTCTCTTCACCCCATTCTAAAAGGGATGTGAAAGTGTTAGGCACTCAGTCATGGCTGACTCTTTGCGTTCCAGTGGACTGTGACCTGCCAGGCTCCTCTGTCCAAAGGGAGTTCCCAGACAGGAATACTGGAGCGGGTTGCCATTCCCTTCTCCAGGGGATCTTCTCGATCCAGGGATCAAACCTGAGTGTCCTGCATTGCAGGCAGATTCTTTACCATCTGGTGATGTACTTTTTAGAAATTTTAAAGGAATTAAAAGTAATGTTGGATTTGAGAGTCTTTTTTTAAAGTCCTTGAGAGTATTTGTAACACTGTGAGTATATTATAAAAACCACAGTTGGGATGACTTATAGGAAGAGACTCAAGAGTCATTTTCATTCTGAATATCCACATTGGCTTATTAGTTTGCTTATTAAGCCATCTTAAAAATACAACATAATTAAACTCCTCAGAATCATTTTGTAAATTACTGTCTTCAGCAAAATTTCAGTTCCTGAAAGGATGAGGACCGGCGAGGCTATTTTTAACTTGTGCTGACGCTCTGTCCCGCAGTGTGTAGCTGCATTTGCTGTCTCCGCTGTTGCTTCTCAGTGGGAACGCACTGGCAAGCCTTTCAACCCACTTCTGGGAGAGACTTATGAATTAGTGCGGTAAGATCTTCCACTCTATTCCAGGCAGATAGTTGAATTTGCATGATTTATATAGCTCTTCAAATGAAAATGGGTATTTTTTGAGCATTCACCAACATTCTGTATGACTGGAGAAAAGGTAACAGCTTTGATGTTTGTTTCTGTGATAGTTGTTATTTTAAAGACTCAAAAATATGAAAACATATATAAAATGGACCATTATTAAAAGTAAATACAAGAATTTCAGTATTCCTGATCTTGCAGGATTAGCTATCATCCTTTCTAGTTATGTATCCATTAGACAGGATAGATTTTTTTAAAATAACTGCATAAAATATATTAGCATGAACTTAGATTGTTGGCATAGAGGCAGTGACTGTATCTAAGGGTGCACTACTGTCTGCCTGCTGTCGCTTACTTCTTTACACACAGTTAGAGAATTCATTTGGCTTTTGTTTTTCTGAATCTTTCTCTTCCATCCATAAGTTTTGATCTCATTTATTCCCTAGGTGTTTGAAAAGGAGACGCTTTAGATTCTTCTGTCTTAGTATAAATGGGATAATAAGTTTTAAATTTACATGGCTAGTATCGCCAATTGATGAAAATCACTGCAGTTCATGGGTGTTCCTTATTTTAATGTGTTTAAGTAGCTCGATGTATAATAACATTGGTTTTAGTTGTTTGGGATGCATTTTTGCAGTTTCTCATGTATTGTCCTTTTCATCAGGATGATAACAAAGAATTGTTTAGTTTGTCAAATCCATTTCCTTAATACTTTAACATTGCTTTTAAAAAGATTTACTTTCAATTGGAGCATAGTTGCTTTACAATGTTGTGTTGGTTTCTGGTGTACAACAACATGAATCAGCTATAAGTACACCTATATCCCCTCCCTCTCACCCCCACATCCCCCTTCCCGCCTCTCATCACAGAGCACCACGCTGAGCCCTCTCTGCTAGACAGCAGCTTCTGATGGATATTTTACACGTGGTGGGATATATATTAACATTGCTTTCAGACTGAAATGACAATAATGTATATATTTTGTGGTGAGTTTATTCTAACACTACCTTTCTTTTTTTTTTTTAATCTTAAGAGATGACCTTGGCTTCAGACTCATCTCTGAGCAGGTCAGCCATCACCCACCCATTAGTGCATTTCATGCTGAAGGATTAAACAATGATTTCATCTTTCATGGCTCAATCTATCCCAAACTGAAGTTCTGGGGGAAGAGCGTAGAAGCAGAGCCCAAAGGAACCATCACGTTGGAGCTTCTTGAGTGAGTTGGAATCATACCTTTTACTTTTTCCCTGTGTCCCTACTCATTAGTATATACATACACTTGCATGCAGACCTGACCTTGTTTGAAAGCTGGAGAAAACGAAGCTGTTTTTATAAGATGTCAATTTCCTACATCATGTAAAAGAATTTGAGAAATGTGGCAACAGCCATGGTTAATCAGCCTAGGTATGTGTAAACAGTTTAACTTGATATATGATGGTGGTTTTGTTTAGATCTATTTTAAGATTAAATGGAGTTAATCACTCCATGATACTATCATGGTAATAATGCCTTGTTTAATCATCTTTTACAATGAATTCACTTTGAGAAATATTGTAATAACAGTCACATTGGAACATCTTAGACATTAGGTAAGTTGAAAGTTCTCTTCTTTTACAGTAGAAGAAAGATTGCCATGAAATATCTCTCCATTTATTTGTGTCATCTTCAATTTTGTTCATTACCGTCTTACCATTTTCAATATAAAAGTCTTTCACCTCTTTGCTTAAATTTATTTCTAGGTTTTTTTTTAATGCAGTTGTAAGTAAAATTGTTAATTCTGTGCTCATGGATTGAAAAAATACTGTTAAACTGTCACACTATCCAAAGCAGTGTACAGATTCAGTGCAGTCTCTGTCAAAATTCCAATAACATTTTTTGCACAAATTAATGCAGACAGTGCCACAGTTTATATGGGATCATGGAAGACCCCAAATAGGCGAAGCAATCTTGAGAAAGAAGAACTAAGCTGGAGGCATCATTCTCCCTGATTTCAAACTGTATTACAAAGCTATAGTAATTAAAATATATGACATTGGCATTAAAACAGATATATAAAACAATGGAACAGAGTAGAGAGCCCCAAAAATAAGTCCACGCAAGTAGGGTCAATTATTTTAAACAAAGGAGGCAAGAATATACAATGGAATGACAGTCTTCTCAATAAATGGTGTTGGAGAAATTGGACAGGCACATGCAAAAGAGTGGAACTGGACCATTATTTTATACTATACACACAATTGACTCAAAGTGGATTACAAACTTGAACATAAGACTGAAAATCATAAAACTTCTAGAAGAAAGCATAGGTGGTAGACTCCTTGATATAGGTCTTGGCAATGATATTTTGAATCTGACACCAAAAAGAATAAAAACAAAAATACACAAGTGGGACTATGTCACATTAAAAGTCTTCTGCACAGTAAAGAAAAGCATCAACAAAATGAAAATGCAGTCTACTGAATAGGAGAAAATACTTGCAAATCATATAGGCTAACATCCAAAATACACAAAGAACTCATACCACTCAATAGCAAAAGAAAAAAAAGTAATTAAAAAATGGGCAGAAGATTTGAATGGACATTTTTTCAAAGAAGACATACAGATGATCAAGATGATCAACAGGTAAATGAAAAGATACTATACATCATTAATCAAGAGAATGCAAATCAGACCACAATGAAAGGGATCCCTTGTGCATGGTTGGCAGATGTAAATTGGTTCAGTCTCAATGGAAAATAATTTGGAAGTTCCTCAAAAAATTAAAAGTAGAACTACCATGATCCAGCAATTCCATTTTGGAATACTTAGCCAAAGAAAACAAAAACATTATCTCGAAAAGATATCTGCACTCCCATGACATTATTATACATGTTATAACTGTATAATATATTAATATGTTATATATATATATACCTGTTCCACACAACAGTCAAGATATGGAAATAACCCAAGTATCCATCATTGGATGAATGGATAATGAAATTGTGGTACACACACATACACATATTATTCAGCCATAAAAAAGAATGAAATCTTGCCACTTGCAACAACGTAGTTGGACCTTGAGGACATTATGCTAAGTGAAATAACTCAGAGAAAGACAAATACTCTATGATCTTCTTATATGAGAAAAAGAAGGAGAAAAAATAATAAACAGACTTTAATCATAGAGTGATTCAGATATTGAAATTTGTATCAAAGATTTTAAAGCAGATGTTATAACTATACTCCATGACATAAAGATAAACACTCTTAAAATGAATAGAAAGACATTGAAGTATTTCTGGAAATTTTAGTAATGAAAAAATGCAATAACAAATGTAATAGCTGGGATAGACTCAATTGCAGAATAAAGATAATAAAATATGTACAGGATCCACAGGCTGAAAGCTATAAAACCCTGGTTACAGGAATCAAAGACTATCTGAGTAATGGAGAGTCTACCATGTCTCACTATACTTGGAATCCTTAATGTAATTCATATGTTTATTCTCCTTTAATTGATCTATAAACAGTGTGTATTAACACAATCCAAATTTAAAAGTCCCAGGATGAATTTTAGTAGATCAAGAGATAGTGGATCCTAAAATTTATATGGAAAGATGAATGAAACACTGTAGCCAAAATAGTTTTGAGAAGGAAGGAAGAACAGAATGATGGACTCCTGCCTCCTAATCTTAAGACTTTACAGTGAAGCTGTTGCCATCAAGACTGTTGTATTGACAGAAAGACAGACACATACATCGGTGGAACAGAGAACAGCATCCAGAAACCGACCCACAGAAACACGGTCAGTTGATTTTTCATGAAGGTGAAAGAAAGCACTGTTCAGTAATGAAGGGTAGTCCTCTCTACAGATTGTGTGAGAACAGTTCGACATGCATGTATTAAAAAATGAACCTCAACTTACACCTCACACCCTAAGCAAAAATGATTCCAACTTAGATCATAGGCTAAAATCTAATGTACAGCTTTAAGCTTTTGGAAGAAAACAGGAGAAAATGTTTATGACTTTGGGTTATGCAATGACGTCTTATAACACTAAAGGACAATCTAGAAGAGACAAAATTGGTAAATTAGATTTTATAAAACTCTATTGCTCGGTGAAAAACACTCTTAAGAGAACAAAGAGAGAAGTTAGAGATGGATAAACATTATTTGTGAATCATTTATCAATAAAGGACTTGTATCTATAATATATAAAGCATTCTCAAAACAGTAAGAAAACAGACAACCCAGTAAGAAATTGGACAAAAGATGTGAATAGATACTTTACCAAAGAGATATATGAATGACAAATGAGCACACAAAAACATGCTCAACAGCATCAGTCATTAGAGAAATGCAAAATTAAAATCACAGTGAGATATCACTACACACCTATTAGAATGTCTAAAATCAAAATTTTTAGAGCTGACAGTATCAAGTGCTGACTAGGGTGCAGAGCAACCAGAAATCTCATGTATCACTGGGGGATCTGGTAAAACAGCAGAGCCACCCTGGCGAACAGTCTGGCTGTTTCTTACAGAGCTGACCTTGTGTTAACCAGATGATTCAGCAGTCCACTTGTAGGCATTTACTCTTTAGAAATAAAGAGGTGTATTTTCACAAAGACCCGTGCCCAGATATTTATAGGAGTGTTACTTATAATCACCAAAAACTGAAAGCAACCCAGCATGCTTCAGTGAGTAAAGGGTTAAACTGTGATACATTCATATAGTAGAATACTACTCAGAAATAAGAACAAATTATTGTTACGTAGAATTTAAAATGCATTATACAAATGAAGCTAATCTCAAAGGGTGACATGGTGCATTATCCCATTTATATGACACTCTGGAAAAGGCAAAACTATTGCAATGGAGAACAGATGAGTTGTTCAGGAATTCCAGGTGGGGGGAGGTTTGACCGTAGAGGGGCAGCATGAGTGAATTTGTGGAGGGAGTGATGGAATTTGTGGTTGTGGTACTAGTTACAGTGATCTACACATGCACTGAAGCTCACAGAGCTAGGTAACACCAAGAAAAGTGACTTTTACTGCTTGTGAATTAAAAATACATTTAAGCATACATGTATGAAGATGTAAAATGAATGTTTTCAAAAGCAAAGAATGTGTAAAATTGGAACTTATTCACATACCCAAGTTTTTCCCTTTCGTAAGCTGGAAACTACCAGATAGATCATTTTTCTTTCCTACCTCTAATTTAATATGTTTTCACCAAACTTTTGAAGGCTTAAAGTGATTATGTACATAGTTTAATTTGGAGTTTGGTAGAAACATAGTTTTGTGTGTTTTTTTTTAAGTTTTTGCATCAGGTCCCATCACTGCATGGGAAATAGATGGGGAACAGTGGAAACAGTGTCAGACTTTATTTTTTTGGACTCCAAAATCACTGCAGATGGTGACTGCAGCCATGAAATTAAAAAACACTTACTCCTTGGAAGGAAAGTTATGACCAACCTAGATAGCATATTAAAAAGCAGAGACATTACTTTGCCAACAAAGGTCCGTCTGGTCAAGGCTATGGTTTTTCCAGTGGTCATGTATGGATGTGAGAGTTGGACTGTGAAGAAAGCTGAGCACCGAAGAACTGATGCTTTTGAACTGTGGTGTTGGAGAAGACTCTTGAGAGTCCCTTGGACTATGAGATCCAACCAGTCCATCCTAAAGGAGATCAGTCCTGGATGTTCATTGGAAGGACTGATGTTGAAGCTGAAACTCCAATACTTGGGCCACCTCATGCAAAGAGTTGGCTCGTTGGAAAAGACCCTAATTCTGGGAGGGATTGGGGGCAGGAGAAGGGGACGATAGAGGATGAGATGGCTGGATGGCATCACCGACTCGATGGACTTGAGTTTATGTAAACTCCAGGAGTTGGTGATGGACAGGGAGGCCTGGCGTGCTGCGATTCATGGGGTTGCAAAGAGTCAGACACGACTGAGCGACTGAACTGAACTGAAGAAACAATAAGAATTAACCAGATGAACCTATTTTACTGGGATTAACATCAGCAGTTTATAGTCCTAGAGTTGAGTGCTCTCCAGCAGTCTGATAGGTTATCCTGAGTCATGGCATTTGAGGAAGATGTGCTTTTTAAACAGTAACACCTCTCACTTCTTTGTCTGGGCTTTGGCTTTCTTTTTGTTTTCTAGACACAATGAAGCATATACGTGGACGAATCCTACCTGCTGTGTGCACAACATCATCGTGGGAAAGCTCTGGATTGAGCAATACGGGAACGTGGAGATCACAAACCACAAGTGAGATGGTTCATCATCCTTCCTGTCCCTTCATTTGCATCAGAGGGGTCCAGTAGTCTTTCTGTATAAGTTCTAGTTACAGAACATTCCTGGCGGCCCAGTGGTTAAGACTTCACACTTCCCATGAAGGGGGCCTGGGTTTGATCCCTTTTTCTGGGAATGTAGATCCCACATGCCATGTGGTGTGACCAAAAAAAAGTGCATTGCATTGTAAGCAGTTTCCTAGCGGTCCAATGGTTAAGACTTCACACTCTCACTGTGGAAGGCCTGGGTTCAATCCCTGATTGAGGAACTTAGATTCCACAAGCTATGCAGCTCGGCCAAGAATATATGTATCTTTAAAGCATTTTTAAAAGTTGTGTTTATATGGATAAATTTTTTAAAAAATTCTAGTAGAATCTAATGACAACTTAAGAACCAGGTAGTATAACACTGTGGTAAATAGAAGCCAGTTCATTTAATGAACAGAATTTAGTAGTTGTGGCTTCCAGGCTAAGTTGTCCCAATGACATGTAGAATATTCAGGACCAGGGATTGAACCCATGTCCCCTTCCTTGGATTCTGAATTACTGGACTGCCAGGGAAGTCCTTAATGAATAGAGTTTATATTTAAGTCTCTGATTATGGAAGACTGGTGAACTCACAGCTTCGGCAGCCTCAGAGAATCTTCATTCCTGCCTCCCTCAGCTCACCTTGCTGACACCGTTTAGCTTGTATTGTTCACATGGGGGCAGGCAACAGGAGGAACAGGAGAGTTGGAAAAAGGTGTATTCAAATCCTGCTGTGACCCTAGGCCCATATCCTAGTCAGCTCAGGCTATGGTGACAGAACACAGTGGGCCGGGTGGCTTCAAGGGCAGACATCTATTTCTCATGCTTCTGGAGACTTAGGAGGCCCAGGTCAGGGTGATGGCCAATTCAGTGCTGGGTGAAGGCCCTCTTCCTGGTTTGAAGTTGGCCATCTTCTCAAATCTTTGCATGGCAGAGAGAGGGATCATCTCCCCAAAGTCTCTTATTCAAAGAGCATGCATCCATTCATGAGGGTTCCACCCTTAGAACCGGATTACCCCCAAATAGCATGGGTGACAAGGCTTCACCATATGAATTGGGATGGGGGGCAGGCAGACATTCATTCCATAGCAGCAAGTCACTTTTTTTTTTATGAATCTTGCTTACTTTTTCTTTGTGGTGGGTTCAGTACTGATTGTGGATTAATTGTGACACTCTGTGTAGAGCCTGGTGTGAGTTAGAAAATCAGTAAACAGCAGGTGCTGCCAGACAGGTTATCGCAGTCACTGTTCTCTGCTGCTGCTTCCTTGTTGAACAATAACCCGAGCTCACTGTCTCCTTTACAGGACTGGGGACAAATGTGTGTTGAATTTTAAGCCGTGCGGCCTTTTTGGTAAAGAATTACACAAAGTTGAAGGCTACATTCAAGATAAAAGGTAAAGTTTCATTTTAAATGTTGACTAGTATAGGTGTTGTTCACTAAGTAAAGTGTTGTTATTAAAATCTGCCAACACCAGGAATTCCCTGGTGGTCCAGTGGTTAAGACTGCATCCTTCCACTGCAGGAGGCACAGGTTTGATCCTTGGCTGGGAAACTTATGATCCCACATGTTGCATGGTTCGGCCAAAAAAATTTAAAAAGAAGAAAAAGAAAATCTGCTGTTATCTCAGTTCAGTCATACAGTCGTGTCTGCCTCTTTGCGATCCCATGGACTGCAGCACACCAGGCTTCCCTGTCCATCACCAACTCCTGGAGCTTGCTCAAACTTAACGAATCAGTGATGCCATCCAACCGTCTCATCCTCTGTTGTCCCCTTCTCCTCTTGCCTTCAGTCTTTCCCAGCATCAGGGTCTTTTCCTATGAGTCAGTTCTTTGCATCAGGTGGCCAAAGTATTGGAGCTTCAGCTTCAGTCCTTCCAATGAATAGTCAGGACTGATTTCCTTTAGGATTGACTGGTTTGATCTCCTTGCAGTCCAGGGGACTCTCAGGAATCTTCTCCAGCACCACAGTTCAAAAGCATCAATTCTTCTGCATTCAGCCTTCTTTATGGTCCAACTCTCACATCCATACATGACTACTGGAAAAACCATAGCTTTGACTAGACAGACCTTTGTCAGCAAAGTAATGTCTCTGCTTTTTAACATGCTGTCTAGGTTTCCTGCTGTTATCTAGGAAACAGCATTTCAGTAAATTGAAAAACTCTTCTGAAAGAAATATCTATTTCTTTAAAGAATCTGATTTGTAAGTGTCTTTATTTATGAAAAGAGAGGCTTCCTTGATGGCTCAGACTGTAAAGAATCTTCCTGCAATGCAGGAGACTCAGATTCTATCCTTGGGTCTGGAAGATCCCCTGGAGAAGGACATGGCTACCCACTCCACTCTTGCCTGGAGAATTCCATGGAGCCTGGTGGGCTACAGTCCATGGGGTTGCAAAGAGCTGGACACGACTGAGTGACCAATACTTTCAGTTTATGATAACATTCAATTACTTCAAGACACTGGTTTAATTGTTGGCTCAACATCGATTTCTCTTGACAGCAAAAAGAAGCTCTGTGCCCTCTACGGGAAATGGACAGAATGTTTGTACAGTGTTGACCCAGCCACATTTGATGCTTACAAAAAAAATGATAAGAAAAATACTGAAGAGAAGAAGAATAGCAAACAGGTAAACAATCCCAGAAGATGGAATTGAGGGGATCCCTGGATGGTGGCCTGTTAGTGGGTCACAGTGTTACCTTTTAGACTTGGTGCCCATGCATGTGATGTTTTTCCTTGACCTTTTCTTTTTTTAAATTTTATTTTTATTACTGTTTTTAACACCAAAAACATTTTGTATTGGGGTAGAGCCAGTTGGAGACCCCAGTTGGATTCCTGGGTCAGGAAAATACGCTGGAGAAGGGATAGGCTACCCACTCCAGTATTCTTGGACTCTCCTGTGGCTGAGACAGTAAAGAATCTGCCTGCAATGTAGGAAACCTGGGTTCGATCCCTGGGTTAGGAAGACCCTCTGGAGAAGGGAACAGCTATCCACTCCAGTATTCTGGCCTGGAGAATCCCTGTGGACAGAGGAGCCTGGCAGGCTACAGTCCATGGGGTTGCAAAGAGTCAGACACGACTGAGTGACTTTCATACAGCCGATTAACAGTGGTGTGACAGTTTCAGATGAACAGCCAAGGGATTCTTGCATACATATACATGTATCTCTTCTCCCCTGAACCCCTCTCCCATCATGGCTGGCACATTGAGCAAAGTTCCATGTGCTATACAGTAATGAACAGGTGATCTGACTTGCTAGTGAATGTTTGGGATCATCTCCCATGGAGTATGGGTGTGTGCTATGCAGTTACACACACGGTGTTGAATTCACATCGCTTTAGAAAGTTGAAGTTCATCTTAGTGAGACAAATATTCTTACCCTCCTTTCTGTTTATGTGCATTAGCAGTTGAGCTCTTCTGAATATTTGAAATTACACCCAGAATAATCACATGGGTTTTCACGCTGACAGCAGTGGTATTGCCCTCCTCTGTATCCGAGATCCCGGGAGCTGAGAGCATCGCAGTTTAGGGGATCGTTGCTGGACGGCCATCCTCCTCTTATGAAGCTTCCTCCTAACGGGACAGTTCAACCTTAGACTCTCCCCTTGTGAGGCCACAGCTTCTCTTCACAGGACCCTGGGAGGCTGGACTGCTCAGTGGCCTCTGAGCTAGGGAGAGGTTGCACCTGTTTGGACAGGAAGCATTGGAGGACTGGTTAGTTTCCAGTAATGGGCATCAGGGCTCAGAGCACAAGCTCTGCTTAGAATCCTGCCTTCCCCACTTCTGAGTGGCTTGGTCTTAGGCAGATCCCTACCCTCTCTCTGCCTCAGCGCCTCATCTGTAAAATGGAGACAGTAATAGCACCCTCATGTCAGAGCAGTTGACGGAGGGCAGGGGCCCCGGGTGAAGACAGCTCAGGTCCCGTCCTCTTTGAGCATCACGGCCTAGCTCTCTGCTCCTGGCTCCCCTTGCCCTGCTGTGTTGCTTGCAAGAGGCAGAGCCTCACTCTCCCCTTACAGAAGTGGGGTTCAGTACAGCAGAATGCGTTGGGGAAATTCCAGAAAATCTCCCTCATGTCCCATAAAGCCCCGGTCGATCTTTGTAGACAGAAGGGCCTTGCCCCTTGGAGAAGGCACCCTCATGCTCTCCCTGTGTCTAATCTCGCCTCCCAGGGCCTTGGCCACTGTGGGTTTCTGATGCTCCTGAGGATATTCAGATGCCAGGCGAAGCTTGTCACCAGTGTTGTCCCCTCCTTGTTGCTTTTTTAAAATTCCACATCTCAGCCAGTAGTTCTAGATTTGGTAACGATGACATTGGGAATATGACTTCGCTTTCCAAAGGCTTAAATTCTTTATATATAAAACTTTATGGGCTAGTTACGTAAGGACTAAATATACAGAGAGCTGCTGGCATAGCTCTGCTGGGGAGCGGGAGGGAGCAGGCAGCCAGTGGAAATGTTGCTTTCTTTTTTAGCCTAGCATCTTTTGATTGAATACTTTCAGGATCCCTGCTGGTTTGGGTCATTGATAAATTTAGTTAAACACTCCAAGAATTTAACCTTTTCTTCCCCTCATAATGTTCCACGAACTACTTAAATGAGTTATTTTGGATTTTTTTAAAACCTTTAAAAATATTAAAACACGACAGTAAAGGCATGATGATGACAGTGGAGATAGTAATGCCTTAAATGCTTAAAACCCCCTAAAAATGACACAGCACTGGCTCACAGCATGGACTCAGTCACTCGACGCACAGTTATTGGCTCCCTGGCCTGGGTCAAAAGGTGAGGACGTGAGCATGAGAAGGGTGTGGTGCCCTGGCACTCACGGGGTTACAGTCTAACGCCGCACAATGAAAACCACTTGTTTTACAATTTGTTGTTGTTGGTCAGCCACTAACTCATGTTCGACTCTTTGTGACCCCATGGACTGCAGCATGCCAGGCTTCCCTGTCCTTCAGTATGCCCCAGAGTTTGCTCAAACTCATGTCCATCGAGTCGGTGCTGCCATCCAACCATCTCATCCTCTGCCGCCCCCTTCTCCTCCTGCCCTCAGTTTTTCCCAGCATCAGGGTCTTTTCTGGCGAGTCAGCATTTTGCATCATGTGGCCAAAGTATTGGAGCTTCACCTCCAGCGTCAGGCCTCCCAGTGGATGTTCTCGGTTGTAAGTACAGTCTCCTAGAGCAGTTCAGTTTTGTTCCTCTGTTCTTCCAGGTGAGCGCTTCTGAGGAGTCGGATGAAATGCCAATGCCGGATTCCGAGAGCGTGTTTGTCATCCCCGGGAGCGTTCTCCTGTGGCGAATAGCCCCACGGCCTCCGAACTCAGCCCAGGTAAGGCCTCCTGTTTACTTGGATCTGACGGCGCTCTTTCCCTGGCCTGGACAGAACCAGGAGAGGGCGGCGGTGAGAGGCGGGGCATCGAATTGGTGCTCAGTCATCCCTCTGCTTTCCCACCCGGGATCCAGGGTTGCTGCTGCCCAGGCCTCCTGCTGTCTGGCCGAGATGCCTTGGGGTGGGCCTTTAGGGGGCTTCCTCCATATATAACGGGGGGTGGGCCTTTGGGGGCTTCCTCCATACATACGGGGATGGGCCTTTGGGGGGCTTCCTCTATACATACTGAGGAGTAAGACACTCTCTTTAAGTACATGGTGATGCAGCCAGATTACCAAGTGAGACTTTTCATATGGAATGAAGAATGTGGTTTCACTCATAGTTCTCCCTGGAGGTTGATGGTGGTGAATGTCACCTGAGGGGTTTCCTTGAGACAGACACCCACAGCTAGTGTGGACCTGGGTGAAAACATGGAGATGTGTGGGTGCAGAGAGGCCGGCCATCATCACCCCAGAACAGAGCAGGGGATCCCTGTCGAATATTCTAGCCTCAGGGTTTCATTCTGCATTAACCTCCAGTACATGTTAATCTGAACATTTTCTTCTTTTTAGATGTACAATTTTACTAGCTTTGCAATGGTTTTGAATGAAGTAGACAAGGAGATGGAGAGCGTGATCCCTAAGACAGACTGCAGGCTGCGGCCTGACATCAGAGCCATGGAGAACGGGGAAATAGGTAACGCGCCTGGCAGCTCTAGGGAAGATGGATTTCTTTGAGGAGGATAGTTTGTCTCACTCCCAGTCACTGTCTGCGTTTTAGTCTGTTAGGGCTTAACATTTTACATGTTCGCACAAGCATCTTACATGTTCGCATTTTATGTGTTAGCACAAGGCACCCCTGGTGGCTCAAACAGTAAAGAATCCACCTGCCAATGCAAGAGACCTGGGTTCGATCTCTGGGTCAGGAAGATGCCCTGGAGAAGGGAATGGCAACCCACTCCAGTATTCTTTCCTGGAGAATCCCATGGACAGAGGAGACTAGCGGGCTATAGTCCATTTAGTCATAAGGAGTCGAACACTACTGAGCAACCTACACTTTTCCCAGGTGATGCTAGTGGTAAAGAGCCTGCTGCCAGTGCAGGAAGCATAGGAGACTCGGGTTTGATCCCTGGGTCAGGAAGATCCATCCCCTGAAGGAGGGCATGGTAACCCACACCAGTATTCTCACCTGGAGAATCCTATGGACAGAGGAGCCTGGCGGGATACAGTCCATTGGGTTGCACAGAGCCAGGCATGACTGAAGTGACAAAGCACATGTTTATTTATTTGCCAGATCTCAGTTGCAGCATGTGGGATCTTTTAGTTGCTACATACGGGATCTAGTTCCCAGACCAGGGATTGAACCCAGGCCCCTTGCATTGCGAGTGCAGAGCCTCTGGACCATCAGGGAAGCATTATAACATGACTTCAGAGGCCTTAAGAATAAGCCGGCTCCTTGGGGAAACACAGAGGGTGTGGAAGGAGGTGAGAGGTCCTGGCTGCCAGCATCGCCTCTCACCAGCTTGGGGCTGTGTTAAGTTTGGACATGATGTCTGACTGTGGCGCTTGTGTTCTGATAAAGGGCGGCTGTGCCAACACCTGCCTCCATGCAGTGAGAGTGCCAAGCACTGTGCTGGGCGGCCTCTCCTTGTACAGTAACTGTGTTTTCACTGCTGTGCTGATTCTAGATCAAGCTAGTGAAGAAAAAAAGCGACTCGAGGAGAAACAGCGAGCAGCCCGCAAGAACAGGTCCAAGTCGGAGGAGGACTGGAAGACAAGGTGCGCTGAGGGGCTGGGGCATGTGGGTGCGGTGGGGGGCCCACTGCGCCCCGCGAGTTGTCCCCAGGCCTGAGAGAAAACTACTTTCCTTTGACCAAGTTCAAGCTGAAAGGGCTGCACATGTGCAAAGAAAAAGGACTATTAGGGAACGAAGGTTAAAATATTTCTATACAGTTCACTCAGGTTGATGTCAATTAAGCAAACTCTCCTCCTTATCCAGCAAAGTACTTGTCCCTTTTATAAGAGGGAAATTAGAGTTACAGATTTTGGTATGAAATAGGTTCAGAGTTGTTTGAGTGAATTATAGGAGCTTTGCTTATACATATGTCATGTATCAAGGATATTTAGACAGAGCCTTTACTCTTCCAGACACACGACACACATCATGGAGATACAATTTGTTAAAGTGACATCTTGGGTTCCATTAAGAAACAAACTGCACAGTAAAATGTGCAAGTTTTGAAAATTTTTCTAAAGAATCAGGAGTTACTTGGTCACTTGGGTTGAGTAATAGAATCTCTTGTAAATAGGAATAGAACGAAAACATTTTTTACATTTATATTATGTAATAGAAACCATTGTCCCATTATTCAAAGTTGTTAAGTAAATTTCAGAGCCAGTGTGGGCATCATTTCACAACCAGTTTAGTAGATATTACTTGGTAGCCCTTTGGCATCTTATACCTTTATTAGAACTAGGAATGATCTTAGGTATCATCAGGTCCAACAGTTTGGGGACTTTTTTGTTAGCATCAAAATCTTTCTTGCCAATGAACATACGAAGAATTTGCAAATACAGAGCACACGGCCACAGAGCTGCTGGGGTAGGATGAGGGCCGAGCATCGAGGTTCACCTGCTCCCACGCGCACACACGCAGGATCCAGGGAGCCTCTGGAAAGCCATTAGTCTAGAAATCCCCTTGTATGTGAAGAAACAAATGCTGGTTGTATTTCATTTGGGAGAGTTGCTCAAGGACAAGTACACCCCACAGACCATGATTAGAAAGAGCCACAGAACCCAAAACCACACTGCTGCACCGCAGTCCCTCCTGAAAGGACGTTATCATTATTTCTAGTCTCTTTTGCAGAAAGCCCACTTTGTGCTGTATTTCTAATTAACTCCTTTATTTTTCTGACCACATTTTCAAGTGTGTGAAGTAAGTGAAAGTCCAGTAAGCATGTTACTGTTGGGTGAAGTCTTACTTTAAGAAAGCAACGAGCTTTGGACTGCTCTGTGGTGGCCTGGAAATAAAACTGGAAGCTAAGTTTGTGAGCTCCAGTTGGGAGTCTTACACATGCTTGCTTCCACCGCTGTCTCTTAGCATCCATAGTTCTTATATGGATATCAGTTCAGTTCAGTCACTCAGTTGTGTCTGACTCTCTGCAACCCCATGAACCACAGCACGCCAGGCCTCCCTGTCCATCACCAACTCCCTGAGTCTACCCAAACCCATGTCCATTGAGTCGGTGATGCCATCCAACCATCTCATACAGACCGTTTCTACTGTTTCCCCATCTATTTGCCATGAAGTGATGGGACCGGATGCCATGATCTTAGCTTTCTGAATGTTGAACTTTAAGACAACTTTTTCACTCTCCCCTTTCACTTTCATCAAGAGGCTTTTTAGTTCCTCTTCACTTTCTGCCATCAGGGTGGTGTCATCTGCATATCTGAGGTTATTGATATTTCTCCTGGCAATCTTGATTCCAGCTTGTGGTTCTTCCTGCCCAGCGTTTCTCATGATGTTCTCTGCATAGGAGTTAAATAAGCAGGGTGACAATATACAGCCTTGATGTACCCCTTTTCCTATTTGGAACAGTCTGTTGTTCCATGTCCAGTTCTAACTGTTGCTTCCTGACCTGCATACAGATTTCTTAAGAGGCAGGTCAGGTGGTCTGATATTCCCATCTCTTTCAGAATTTTCCACAGTTTGTTGTGATCCACACAGTCAAAGCCTTTGGCAGAGTCAATATATGGATATACAGACTTTAAAAATGATGCTGCTGACCCTTGGTCAAAAGAATATGTGCTTGGAGCCCTTTCCTGTTAGGGGCGAGAGGTGGTGTTTGCTGACTGGGTCTTCTCCTGGCTAATAATGTGCTTTTGAGCAGCTGGGTTCAGTTTGTGTCGGGGTAGAGGTTGTGCAGCTTATAAAGGGATATGTTTTGCAGAAGAGAGTTAAAACCAGGCCTTGGAAATCACACCCAGAAACTTATTATAACCTGTCCCAAACTCATCCACACTAAAAGCTGGCTTCCCTGTTGATACCAGTTTCAGTCGTTTGAAAAAAGTTCAGACTCTGGGATTTTTCAGGCTTTAAACTGTAGTTCATACACATGATAATGGCTGCTTGTGATCCTGCCCTGTTTTCCGAGAGAAGCCCAGAGACCTTAGCAAGTGGGGTTTTGTGGAGAGGAAGTGGTGGGACTGGTGAGAGACACAGCTGTGAAGAGGTGGGTGATGATGCCACAAAAGTTGGTGAAGTCATCTCTTCCCCCCCAGTAAGAGCATCATGCAGAATTAATAGCATTCTAGAATGTTATATTATGTAGAATGTTATATTACTGATTACATTATAGAATGTTGTATTACTGACATGGGGCTTCCCTGGTGGCTTAGATGGTAAAGAATCTGATTGCCTGTAATGCAGAAGACCCAAGTTTGATCCCTGGGTCAGGAAGATAGCCTGGAGAAGGGAATGGCTACCCATTCCAGTATTCTTGCCTGGAAAATTCCATGGGCAGAGGAGCCTGGCAGGCTACAGTCCATGGGATCACAAAGAGTTGGACACAACTAAGCGACTAACACACACGTCAGTCATTGACTAACACACATTACTGACAGAGACCCATGGATTCTGTAGACTCAGAAACATTGACTGAAAGGCAACAAAGACACCTCTCCTACCCCCTCTTTCTTTTGCCCATGCTTACCTAAAGTGTTTGAGTCTGGAAAGACAGCATGGGCTTTTCTGTTTGTGGAGGGGATACGCTGACGGCAGCAGAGGTTTCCAGACCTGAGTGCTGGAGATGAGAAGAGCAGACGTCGCGAGAAATGCTAGTCCTTAGTATCAGATCCTCAGACCTGATTGTCTTTCATATGGTGTTCCAGTTCTCCCCAAGAACAAGTGCTCCCCATAGGGAGGCCTGGCAGACATGGCTTTTAGTGGCTTAAGTGTGAACCCAAAAAAGTCCTTTGCTATTGAATGAATCTTCTGCTCTGTGAAGTCTCTCTGCACTTGACTTGCCCACTGTCCACTTTGTATGGAGGAAGTCCTGTGGTGTAGGCCTGAGTCTTGGTTAATTTTTAGAGTCATTTTTGATGATCTTGATTTTGATTTGATTGACTTTTCTGAAGTGCTTGGATTTTGTTAAGCCTGACTACAAAAGTGCTTTTATTACTTGAACTTTTGAGACCAAAAAGAGTGAAATTGTATGCTTCATTTAGACAAAAATTCTGTGACTCTGATCAAAGAAAAATCCTTAAAAGTATTTCCAGCGTGGTTACCAAAGTCTTGAGAAACATGTGTCTTCATAAATATTTGATATTGATATTTGACTTTAAAATTTTTTAATTAGGGAAAAGTCCCCAAAGCCAAATAACTTCTGTAATAATTTAGAAATTTGGGCCCAGTGGGCATTTACTTTCTCAGCCTTCAAGGAATTAGACTAATCTGAAGCATGTTTTCTGTCTTAGGGCTTTTAGTGTTGCTTCAGTGGTTAACAGGGACCACTTGGGATTTATCTAACCTCACTCTAATTGTTAAATATTTTTGAGGCAATTTATTTGGAAAGAATGACAGACATGAAACTATTTTTATAAATATTACTCTGAAAAACTAAATCTTACTAGAAAATGTTACACAAATTGAAATTTGAACCTTTTGAAGAAGTAATTTTGCATTTCCATTACCTCAAGAAAGCTGGGAATATTTAGGAAATGGGTGAATTGTTTTCTAAAGGGCAAGAAAATCAGGGCAGCTCTTTTTAGAGTTTGATCAGATGGGTAAGGATGTTAGAAGCTAGATGCAGCCTATAAATATACATTAGTGTGGAGAAAAGAGAGACCCAGGAAGATGTGGGCCAGATTAATTTCAGTGGATTATGTGTAACGTAGTATATTTGGAAAATGATGGTCTTTAAAAAGGCTTATTTGATATCATGGCTAGCTTGGGCAAGTTACTTAATTTCTCTGACATTGAGCCCCTCATTTGTGAAATGGAAATAATATTTTGGGGTAGGGGGATTTACTCTGAATCACCTTCCTATTACTATAGGTAGACTGTAAAAGTCTCACCCTGATTCCTTATTCCTCATTGCTTAAAAGCTGCTTTATTCTGGAAGGTAAGCAGTGGACAATTAGACACTGTTACTGAATGCCATGGAAAATCCTTAAATCTTTCAAGTGGTCTTATTACAGATTTCCGAATACTGTTTTACATATTCTGAGCATGACTGGGTGCATGTTCAGTCATGTCTGACTCTTTGCAACCCCCATGGACTGTAGCCCACCAGGCTTCTCTGTCCTGGAGCGGGTTGCCACTTCCCCCTCCAGAGGATCTTCCCAACCCAGGGATTGAAGCCATCTTCTGCACTGGCAGGTGGATCCTCTGCCACTGAGCCACCCAGGAAGCCTGTTGTTCTACATAAGTGCTCTCTAAAGACACTTCCGAAGTCTTCTCGGAAACCTCTAGCTCACAGAATGAAGTGAATCGCTGCAGTAAGGGAGTCTGCAGGCTGGTGAGGCAGTGAGGATCCTGTGATTGCAAACAGTTTCCCCTATAAATCTTGTCTTCTCCTTAACAGGTGGTTCCATCAAGGCCCTAATCCCTACAGCGGAGCCCAGGACTGGCTTTATTCAGGCAGCTACTGGGACAGAAACTACTTCAATTTGCCTGACATTTATTAAAATGTAGACAAGTTGGGGCGTTTTGACGCATCTGCAGATAAGTCTTAAACCTATGTTTTAAAATTTTCTTCCTTGGTTTCTACTCATCTTAAAAAAAAAAAAAATGGAAAAAACCCTCTCATGATAACTTGCACTTCACCCAACAGAAGTGGGGTATAGGGTGATACCAGTGATGAAAGTCTTAAGAAAAATGGGTAATTCTGCTATCCGGTCGTGCTTCTTTGGAATACTATTTTATACAGAGGTATGGGAAACTGCTGGCGAATATGCTTTTGATGGTTGCTGTTACCATATTTACCGAAGGTTTATACCTAAATGTAACTTTAGCTTTATTGAATTATATAGTAACCCAGATCAAGTTATTTTGAATATTTTTATGCCGTCATGCTTGAATGTTTTAGATTTAACTTTGAAATGTTTAAAATTCTCCTGTACAAGGTTTATATGCTCAAATATAGAGGTGTATGTCATTTTGTAAAGACTACATTGAAAAGATGGCTTTTCTTTACACGAATCCTCTCAATTTTGCCCCCTCCCATCCCTAAAAAGAAAAAAAAATGAATGTTAAGAGACATTCCTAATTTGAAAATTCAAAACTGGAAAAGGTATTTCATTTGCTCATTTTAGTACTCTGAATTTACTTTTACAATTTTCTATAATTAATGTCATTAGAATTAAGAGGTGTTTGAATTGTATGTTTGAAAATATGTATAAAACCTAGCAATTCACAAAAATACCATAGAAATAGAGGTTTTAGGCACCATCATTACATAATGACAAACGTTTTTAAATGCCACCAGAGCAGCTCAGTTTATTCATGTATTATAAATGTCAAACTATATAAAAGGAGGTCTTGTGCATTTCAGGTTTTCAAGGCACCTGTGTACTTAAGATATGTACGGAGACCTACTGTACAGTAGCTTTGCCCCTTTAATTGGGGTACATTAATCATATGGTATTTATCTACCCAACCCCAGACTGAGATTTTGCTCCCAGGGGCCTTAGATAACTGCCAGTAAGTTATTTCAATGGCTGTCTCAAAGTTAACAAGTGTTATAATGAAATAATCTACCTGATGCTAATAAAGGCTTTAGAATGTTCTAAACAGTGTGGTTTCATTTAAACTTTCAAATATACTCATAATTGCAATTCATGTGATCCTGAATTGTCAAAGAGTGTCCTCACAAAGAAGTCCCTGTGGTGTCAGTTTGCGCTGAGGGTCGTCTGGGTAAGTAAGTACAGTACAGAGTAAGGTGGCACTGTATTCGCTCGGTGTGAATGCCAAATGGGGAATGGTCAACTGGAAAACCTTGCTAGAAAACTGCTAGAGTGGAACTATTTTTTTTTTACAGTGTGTACTTAAGACCTGGTTGTGTTGTTTGTATACCCCCTAAGTTACAAAATAAGCGCGATGACAAGGTTTTATGCTTGCATGAAGTTTATTGTAGTACGCTTGGTGGCAGACTCCACCTTGAATGTCGACTCAAACTGTCATTTTCGGCATCTGTGAGGAATAATGTAAACAGTGAATTGTTTAATGATAAAACTGGACATGTAAAATGAGTGATCAGAAATGCAAGTTCTGTGCTCCTGCTCTGCTCAGCTCATAACTAATGTTACCTGTGCATTTGCACTGAAATATGCTCAAGACAGCCATTTGGACAGTTCCATGGAAGTCTACAAAGCGTGTGAGTAAGTAAATGTACTAAGGTGTTTTGAAAACAGTGCCTTCTTAAATATAGTCATTATGTCACTTGAACTTGCCTCTAATCGACATCGAGCTTCTGGGGTTCAGCTGCTTTCTTCTGATTCCCCACTGAACTCTTAATCCCATCTTCCCATCTGACTTCACCTTAAGGGTCTCGTCTGTTCTTTCCTGCCTTTGGACTCTGTGGGCTCCTTGTGTGGCCAGCTCCTCCTAGGCACGTGTCCATTACATTAGGACCTGAACACCCCATCTAATAGACGAGGGCCTGGATCCATACCTCTGTGCTCGCATCAGGGAGGAGAGAGTGATGCTGAATGTGGTAATAAATAATGGTTGAAGAAAAATGTATTGATTTGTGAGGATGAAACTGTCCACAGTTAACGCTGCTTTTTTAGCTCTTTAATGTGTCTCCACCCTCTTCGCTCTGCTCTGAGTGCTCACTGTACGGGGAGCACAGCTGCCACATGGACCGAGTGCTCCTAGGTGTGCTCCCTCTAGAAGTGCTCAACTTGCTCCTCCCCACCCTTTAAACCTGCCAACTAGATTATAAAATGCCCACATAAGGCTGTCTTTTTGTGACTCCATCCCTTTGGCAGCTTCTGCAGGAAGATACAGGACTGGATGTTCAAAGGTAAACGAGTTGACTGGTGCACGTTTGACACCAGAGCCGTGGTGAGCGTCCCTGGGGCCGTGCGCCTGCCCTGCACCGAGCAGTAACTGGGGGTCAGGGAGGCATGCACTCAGCTGTCTTAAAACACCTTTGTCTACAGGTCAGCAAATCAAGCTGCTGAGAACGCATGCAAACGTGGTAAGGCCCAGTGCATGAGGGGGAGAATTTACCTGGCAGTTTTAAGTTTCTGCTCTGCGAACATGGGCAGTAGTCACGGTTATTTCTCCAGCAATACCGTAACTTCCAAAGGGAGACCGTTTGTCACCAGATCCTGAACCTTTTTTGGCTACATCTTCTACCGGGAAAGCAACAGAAAGAAAAACTGGGCTTTTTGGTCTGGGCACATCTTGTCCACTTGTAGGAGGACTAGCATTCTGGGGGGTGGGGACGTGTTTCTGGAATTTCTGATCTGCAGGAACAGCAATGGGCACTTGCACTGTGGCATATCTCTTCACAGCCTCTGACTGGGAAACAACAGCATGTCCAGGAACAGGCTTCCAATCCTGTGCTTCCTGAACATTTGAGCCCACTAAAATAAAAGGCGGGGCACTGGTCTTCTTGCTGTCGTCCATCATCACATAAGTTGGAGAAGTAACTTTCGGTGGATGCTGCAGAAACTGTGGATCCTTAGGATTAGAAAGATAGAGGGTTGCCTGGGGGAAAGGCCCAGGTGCAGGTGGCGGTGATGGGCGGCTTTGTTGGTTCATATCAGTTAGACAATAAAGGGTCCACATGTTAGAATATGGTGGTGGTTGTCCTGCTTCGCTTGCTGCTAGTGCTACAAAAAAAAAAATTTGCAGGCGTTAAAGGTTTGGTCTCTGTATCAAGCGCTATGCACAGAAATGTCTTAAATTTTTTTTTTAACATATAAACAAACAGCTGTAGTAATATGTGCCATAAAGCATGCTATAGAGAGGGCTAAATAAATGTTTGGTAATGTGAAAGAAGAGAGATTCTCAACAGTTGGAAAATGAGAACAGTGTCTTGATAGCAAGTGGCAGGGACACTAGGGTTGTGGCTGAGGAGCAGTCTCATTCTAAGCTGCTGTTTCCAAGAACTTAACTTTAGACCTGGCCTCTCCAGGATCCTCAGGAAATGAAGAGTCAGCACTTCCAGCTCCACTAAAACAATCAACTGAAGAGCGTGTGAAGCCACTGGAAAAAGCGTTAATGCATCTGCATAGTGATTATTCTCTTTATGGGAGAAATCTGCACTCAGCACTAGGTGGCATCTTTTGATCACATCATCAGGTATCTCGGGCCCTTCACAGGCACCGTCGTCACCTGCCAGTCTGTCACCACACAAAAAACATCACATAATCTAGGACTCAGCACTTCGGAGCACTGCCTGGGCTTAGGCGAGACTTGAAATTACAGGTCCTAGGTGGCAGTAGAAGGCTGCGTGTTTGCATAGTGGCTCTTCAAGGGGAAAAAAAACAGTCTTGCGGTGCCATCCATTCACTTCCACCAAGGATGCTATCATGTCAGGTTAGAGTTGCCTACTTGAAGCCAGTGCTGTTGTGGAGAACTGAGTCCCAGAAGATGGGATGGAAGAACAACATATAGCCTTTGTGCAGCTTTTTTTTTTTTCCTTCTTCAGAAAAGAAAAAGACACTATGCACATGATTAAGCTACATTTTCAGGCTGCTGAAACTGATCCTTCTGGAAGCTAATTAAAGATAAGCACAAGTGAAGTCGTCGGGTGTCTCTGAAATACCTTTAGTGCTTTGGAAGCAGTTAAGCTGCTTGAGAACAGTAACTTGGGATAAAGTGCTGCCTGGGCCACAAGTGTAATGCCAGCCCCCACAGGCTACGCTCCAACGCTGCCCCCTGCCTTTCCAGCTGTGCAGAGTCCCCGTCACACTGCCAGACAATTTCATCTCTAAACACCTGCTATGGTAACACCTCTTTATCATTCTGACTCTGGTAAGAGTCATGATTGAGAGAGCTTCTGCAAAAGGAATGGGGGGGTGTTGGTCCCTGCATGTCCCACCTACCTAAAGTGAGAAGGGTCACTGCACTCATCTGGATGAAGTAGTGGGGCGGGTGGACCAAAGGCCATTAACTAGACCAAGATGGGAGGTCAAATGGTGCATCTGTGTCATAGGAGAGCAGTAGTGATAGTTCAGCAGCCAAGCAAGTAGCGTGTTTTAGGCTCCTGTTGGGGTAATGATGGAAGCCAGCCAGCCAGCCTTGACATGTCCATCCTTCCTGCTGCCACTACCACCCCGCTCCCCTGTGGGACAGAACTTCACCTTGACCTTTCCCCTCTCAGCTATGAAGCTGCTCCCTCCGCTGCGGGCAGCCCCCAGGCAAGACCGCAGTGCTCAACCGGCCCCCCCAGACCAGCTTGCAGAGCTCTCCTCCCTCAGCGCAAAAGCAGTCAAACACACCACCATTTCTTCCATGTTCCCAATGCCACCACCTAGGTAAATATGTTGTTGTCATTTGCTTTTACGTTCATGAGTGAGAAATTTCAAACCAACACCCCATGATTACAGTTTTGCAGTAGCAGTATCCAGATCACATGTTTGTGCCTGACAACAGGTTCTAATATCTTTGGCGACATGGTATGTCCAAACAACGGAAGAGCACTCGATAACTAAACTTTGAGGCCAAGCGGTGGTGATGTTACTTTAAAATCACTCATCTCATGAGAGTAAAATCTCAAATACAACAAAGCCTTTATTTAAATAGGTTTGGCATTTTCAGTACTATTGAAAGGAAAGACTTCTGACCAGTCTGCAGGGAGCCTACCTAGATGGTCACCTGAAATAGAGATGTCACCAGAAGTGTAGTTTTTAATTTTGTAAGTAATTTTCTTACCTGGCTCCATCAAACCTCGTTGGAAGGTGTTGCTTCCCATTCTGGTTCCATTTCTGGTTCATAAAGACCTTCTGGAACAGGAGGTTGGGGGCCACTAGATGATCTTACGGACCCTGAGCGCGCGGGTTTGACCTCCGTCTCCTGGGACGCAGGGTTTCCCCCGGACTCCTGCCCAGCACTGCCAGGGGCCAGCGCAAAGATCTCCACTTCAAGGTGCATGGATTTCTCAGAGCTCACTGCTTTGGTAGAGCCGTCTGCCTCCACATGGACTGAGTCATACTTTGTACTCTCCGACTGCACAAATTTTGCGGAACCCACAGATTTTTCAGACCCACCTGAGGCTGTCTTGCCTACTACAAGTATGGGACTGTGTGGTGGTGACTGCTCCTTGCCTTTAAGACGAGCAACGTGATCAGAGAAGGGAATAACTATTTGTTCTGGTAACTGCTCAACATAAGTAACTCCTTCGATTACAGGCTCATCATTATAGATAGAGGCTATGTGCATGGTGGATGTCACCTCAATGTCAGCCTGCAAAGGGACCTCAGAAGCATGGTCACAAGCAGGAGGTTCTTGTTCACCCTGCAAGGGGAATGAGGAAGCCGTTGGTGACTCAGCCTTACTGCCCACACGCACATGGACAGATTTTTCGCTCACAACCTGCTCTGCTACCATCTTGCCAGAACACACACTAGGAGTGGCCACCACGTTCTCTTCAGTAGCCTTCGAGCGCAGCATCTCCTCGGAAATACCAGGCATACTTGTTGCCACATCCACCATTAAAATTTCAGATTGATCAGAATGAACAGATGGAACATTACCTAACATCTGAGCAGCAAACTGGGCGGGGTCTGCAGGGACATAGGCAAACTCGGAAGTGACAGCTGCTGGCATTGGTGACGACGGTGGGGTGGCGTTCTTGGGGGTGGTCGGCTTGCATGGACCCTGGAGTGCTTCACTTGCGTCCTCAGGCTCTGAGACCAGCTCGGCCTGAACTGATGGGAACTGAGTGGTTTTGTTGCTGAAGAGCGGTGCTGCTATGTTATCCTCCTCTGTGTCCGTCGATTTTTCCATCCGTTTAGGTTCTAGGGAGATGGTAGATGCTCTTTCTGGCTCTTTCACACATTCTGCTTTCTTCTCTTGTGCTGTTCCTTCCGACCATTTCTCCACTAAAAATGAACGGTAAATGAGTTAACAAGTACATAGTCCTCAAAAAAGCAATTTTAAAGGAAGCATAGGTTGAGCATACCAAAGTCATTATGTATGCAACTTTGAAAGTTTTGTTTCTTAAGGACGGGGGAGTTTCACTGCCCACACTTACCTACTAAAGAGAGACCTCAGTTCATTACCTTAGAAATAAGGGACTATTTAGGGAGCACAGTGACAAAAGCTAATAATCAGATACCACCTTCAGCTGGATCGTAACTCTGCCTAAAAATCAGCTGAAAACATCCCTGAAAAAATCTCCTGATCCAAACTTCCACATAACACTTAACTTCCAACACTCCTTAACTTAAATGAAACACATGCTGTCTTATTAAAAGGCATTCTTTAAGAAAATGGTATATAAAGTTCAATTTACTAAACTGTAAAGCTAGGCTACTATAGCATATTTTTACATTAGGAAATGTCCTTGGAGGGGAAGAAAATAACCATGGCTCACAAGGTCAAGTCAACTGATGACATACAGAAACTCCCAGAGCTGGAAAACTGCTGTAATGTCATTTTCTGTACTCAACATTGTGCTTGTCACTCACGTTTGTTTAACCAGCTGAGTCATGACTCAAACGTTTTCACATCTGCCTACTTTACTCAGGATTCCCTGATCTCATGAAATCAGCAAGAAAAGTTAAATTTGCCTTAGGAGAATATATTTGCTTTAAGTCAAAACTTTGGAAACGTGTCTTCATGGTAAAGAAATCAGTGCTTGGGGTTTAAGTCCTGGCCCTGAGAGTGTTCTCCCTCAGCCCCTTCTCCCACACTCTTGCTCTTCCTCCTGGGGGCAGCCTGCTGTTTCTCATCGATGATGCCAGGCAAGGACTCACTGACTGGCAGGGGGGCTTTCTCACTGTCCTGTGGGTCATCCCTGGCAGCTGATCTCTGCTTTGTATCTGTGGTCAGTCTTGAGCCAGTGTTTCTGCCTCTCCCCCAGTGGTAGGAAGGAGCCCTCTATTTGGTGTTGACATAGGACTCCTCTCTGGCCTTTTACCTTGCTTCCATCTTTCACAAAAGGCCTGTGAGTGTGAACTTCCTGTGTCTGGAGTCCCAGACTCCTCCAGCTGGACACCCAAGCCCACCCTTAGGGCAAGGGCAAGGTCAGGACGCCCACTGCTAAAGGAACTTGAGGCCTGGAGTGCAGTGAAGGTAGGAGAGCCACCATGAAACCCAAGCCCGCTCTTTTCTAGACTCACCTACCCACTCTACGCCAGCAATTCTCTTTTCCCTCATGGGGACTTCAGTTCCCCAGGCAGTCATTTATTTATCATGAGCATTCTCAAGAACGCAACCAGCTTTGGGACTGGATCACTGAAGTCCATAGATCACCTGCACAGGACCCATCTGAGATGTCACTTAAAGGAATTCAGCGACTGTGGGAAGGCCATGTGCTCTTTTAAAACAGGCTTATCATTCCTGAAAAATCTAAGAGACTAATCCTTATGCTTCATATTTTTGCCTTTGGAAGTCCCATATTAACCACCATCCTGGAAAGGTAAGTGTTAGTAACTCACAGTCGTATCTGACTCTTTGTGACCTCATGGACTGTAGCCCACTGGGCTCCTCTGTCCATGGAATACTCCAGGCAAGAATATTGGAGTGGGAAAGGTAAAGCATTATATAATTATGAATCATGACAACTCATCAGAGAGTTTATGACATTGCTGCCTTCCCTACAACTTTTCATAGTAAAAAGGTATATGAGAAAGTCTGGATCTCAGTCCTGACTGAATGGATTTAATGGCTAAGCCAATGGTTCTGAGCTTCAGTCTCCTAGTCTGTAAGATAGTAGAGATTAAATGGAATCATTCACCTAAAAGTTATTCTATAAACTATAAATCACATATAAATGGAAAAATAATAAATCAACACCTAGTTAAAAAGTTTTGAAATGTAATACCAAATTAAAAATTATAAACCTATCTTTAAATCAGCTTTGATTAAAATTAATTGGCTATCTCTTAATCTGGTGGTAAGATGCAGGGTGTTTTTCCCTATTTATACTATATGTCTGTATATACACCCACACATAAATGTCATATTTCATCACATTGAGATCAAGTGCCTTAAGCTGTAATAATGGTTTTGAAATGTAAAGCACTAGATTAACCACTGGGTTTTGTTTAGAATACATAAGAGGATATTAACAAATATATACATATGAGTTATCATACATATATAAATTTATATTGAGTTTATCTATTACTACAAAAGGTAAAGAGCTTCTCTAATGTTTTATAGGTCTTTTTAACAGTTCCAAAGATTGCTTGACTTGTAACCTTAGCTTTTTTCTGCCTGAAAATGTATTCTGCTTTCATTTTTAAAGGATGTATTCACTGTATATATATATTCATTCTAGGTTGGCAGCTTTTTGCTTTCAGCACTTTAGAGATGTCATTTCATTGTCTTTTGGCTTCTATAGTTTCTGTTAAGAAATCAGCTATTTGTCAGATTATTCTCCTGGAAGTAATACTCCTTTTTACCCTTCCTGTTCTCATGATTTTGTCTCTTTCAGCAATTTGACTGTGATTTGTATTTATTCTGCTGTGGGTTCAAACTTTTTGAATCTGCAAGTTGATGTCTTTCAGTCAGCCTTAGATCATTGGTAATTCTTGGTTACTTTTTCATCTACTCTCTTTTCTCCTCCTTTGACTCTAATTACTCATTTTTTTCCTCCTTTTGATCACATCCCACAAATATCTTACACACTGTCCTCGTTTTTTTTCTTGCTTCAATTTGGGTATTTTCTACTACCCAAAATACTACCCAATTTCTGTGGTTTTTTTTAGTTTCTAATTTTGTCTTCTGCTAGTAAAGCTATTTAATAAAAATTTAATTTGAAGTTACAGAATAACCGTTTTTTTTTTTTTTTAGAGCCTTACTCTGTTGAAGTTCTCCAGCTTTTCATCCATGCTTTCTATCTTTTAATTATTTTCTTCTAAATGGTGCTGATCTTGTTCTAATAATGGCACATATGATCCTCCTGAGACTTCATTTTATATTTTGTCAAAGTAGGTATATTACACTTTGTTCTTACTCCTAGCACACTGTCCTTTATTTCCAGGTTCCAGAAGTCTCTTCATTTTGGCTGAGTCCAAACTCCAAAGCCTCCCCTCAACACTGTACCACTTGTGAAAACCCTACTTAGCTTTCAGTCTTCCAGCAGCTCTTCTCTGTTAAGCCTTCTCAAACCTTAGAGTCCACACATGAGCACCTTAGGAGTTGGCAAAATAACCAACCAAGTATCTTTGCAGACTTTTGGGAAACCCTTCTCTGCAGATGCCTCCTCTCTGGTGCTGTCACCGAGATCCCAGCCCCCGCAGTAGCTCCAAACTCTGCTGCTCTGTTTTCTCTTCCTGGAGTGATTTCCAGTCTCTGCTTAGTCTCTTTTCGTGCACATCACTTTGGAAAATGCTACCATGGTGAATGTGGGGCTCAAGTTTTGTGAACTTTTGTGTCTGAGCTCTGGCTCTGACCCACATTGTGCTTTTCTGCGGCCTCTTAGTCACCTAGGTAGAAGCGTAACGCATACTACCTGGGTGCTGGTCTCTGACTCCACTGTACTTACTACTCACGCTTCTACTTTGTGGAAAGGGTAGCCTGTGTGCTTATTTCACTGAAGGATTCAGAGATCCTTCATAATTTGGTTGTCTTTAGTAATTAAGGACTAGTTGACAGTATTTTAGTCCCAGTTCGGATGTGTTGCACTCAGCTCTCTGCAGGGTTGAGTCACTGGGAAATATTGGGAAAGTCAAGTATTGGGAAAGTCACAATACTTTCCCATCTGGGTTACTTGCTAGTCAGGACTCTGAGACGCCTAAACACATTTGGACCACGAAAAGCCAGACAGAGCCTAGGAAACAAATAGTCTCTCAGGCCTATCTGAGAAAGACTCTCCAGTATTTCTAATCCAGTGCATCAAATGCAGTTAGTTTATTCAGCCAATATTTACTGAAGGTCTGATCATGGCAGTTATAGTGCAGGATCTGAATGTAGCATGTGACATGCTAAATGCAGCACCACGCTACCGGTGAGCTACCCAGTGAGTTTCTGAGGAGCATGCATTCTTCCAGACAGCACAAGAATGCAGAGAACAAGCCAGATGCTTGAGTCTTAGGGAATTCTGATCAGAAATTCTACCTACCTTCCTGTCGCCAGCTTCAGTCTCAGCTAGCACTTTTCATGCACCACAGTCCCACTGTCAAGAAGGACTTTCTATTTCCCTCTCCTGTACAGTAGGAAATGGCCTTCGAGCCTGTCTTTTTTCCTGCCTCCTCTATGGTTTATCTAAAGTAAAAACTTGATTCTGGTAACATTAGGTCTTAAAATACCTTTGAAAATTCCAAGAAAATCTTTTCCCAACAAAAACAAGCTCCTGGACAACTCCAAAGTGTTAGCTTTTTTATTATGAACCAAGTAATGGATTCTTTGCTGTAGACTGTATTTGTCTTTTCCCTAAAGCAAATTAATGCTTCAGTGGGTAGAGATCAACAGAGCAAATAGGAAAAAATAGAGGTAATCTAAATCCGGGGTATACTAATTTATTATTTTTTAGAAATATACCTACAACACTGAAGAGTTGGGATTGACAGGGAGCTATCAAAGTGTATGGCCAGCAGAGTCAGATACTTAGCTTACAAGGCCCAGAATGGTCTTGCTTCTTATACTGACCTCTCCTTGTGTGCCTGACCTCATCTGGTTCGCTGTCCTGGCTTGCATGGTTTTCCTTATCTGCTTCTCAGCCCAGCGTTCTCCTCTCTTAATCCTGACTCTCTATTTCTGTCCCTAGTCTTGACATTCTGACCCCAATTCTCAACTGTACCCTTTTCCCCAGTGATTTATTTGCAATCTTACCACAGCATTAAAGCATGAAGGACCTAAGCCCCACTCCCAACAACATCACCAGATAATCATTCCAGCTTTTTAACTTAATGAAATTCTTACCTTGGTACAAATTACCACCCTACCTAGGCAAACACACAATTTCAAGAAATGAAAGACTCCTTTTGACACAATACTCATCCCTGTTTAGGAAATCAGTATAGCCTTACTTGAAAAAATTGCCCAGAAAAGTAGAGTGAACACCAGAGCCTCATAAAACTTGGTATGGATAGTCCTGAAATAGAGATTCCTTTTTTGTTTAATAAAGGTGGATAAGCTACAAGTATGTGTAATGAATTCTATAAGGCATAAATATAGAATTGGGCTTAAGAAACTGGAGACATTATTATATCTAATATGAATACATAAGACAATATTTAATGGTACACATAACTACTGTGATGCTACATAAAAAGTTAAAATTGGGCTCAGTGATCAGCAGCAGTTCATGACTATAATTACTACTCTACGGCCACACCAAGAACGTCCAACCAGAATCAGTTAGAATAGTTAACAGGCTAACTCAGTTGGGAACCTTGGTGGCCTAGGCCTTCTTGATTCTTCCAAAGTAGTGGCTATTTCCTGCTCTGTTGGAAGCCAAGACAGGAATAACATCAGAAAGTAGACTCAACTAGGCTTGGGAGGATGGAAGGCGCCACTCTGATGGAGAGGCCACTGCCCTCCTCATGGAGTGGTGGAAAGGCCAGAATTAGTACAATCTGGGCTGTAGGCTCCATACAAGAAGCTGACAGGAGGAAGAAGTGAAAAGGGGGAGATAATGTGGGAAAAGAGAACTGAGACTTCGCTCCAAGTTCAAAAATTAAAGTTTTTTCTAGAGGAATGTTACTGGTGTGTTGCTCTGCCTATTTTGGAAAGACAGTCATACTACTAGGAAAATCTTCATGCTACTAAGAAAATCTAAGTTTAGATCCCAACTCTACCAAATAGTATTTTAGAAACTTACAAGTTACCGACTCACTCCCAAGCATCAGATTTCTCTTGAGTGAAACTGTAGGATGTAACCTATTTTATAAAGTTGTTTTAACTGACTAAACATACTGTATTGCCTAGGACAAAACAGGTAGTCAATAAATTCTATTCTCCTCCTTTCTTTTCCTAGATATACTAAGTGGTAGAACTTGACACAACTGTTTGCCTTAAAAATAGTGCCTGAGTTTGTAAAGTCCCCTCAGTGATTCATGCAGATTAGTGAAGAAATTCTTCTGAGAAGACTGAGAAATAGAAAACGCTTTTACTGATTCATAAAGTAGTAAGACCCATTTAATCAAATGGCAGAACAGTCAAGAGGATCCAAAAGAGGGTTTTACATGAGCAGCTTTGGGAATGAGCATACACGGGTGAAATATTTGCCAGAGTGGAGGCTGTATAGAGGCAGGCTCTGGAAAATGAGAGAAAAGATGAGGAATGACAGAAGTGAGAAACGTTTGCTCCCATGTCTGGTTCTTTCCTCTCCATCACCTGACTCTGCGTGAAATTCTGAAGGCGGTGGGGCAACAGGTAAACAGTACTGGTCCTACGATGAGGCCTAACAACGTGGGGCTCCTCCCAGGAAAACTCCCAGGTTGAAGTGTTTGAGTCAATGGTCTGTGGATATACTTATCTTCATACTCCCATGCATACGGGGAGCTTGGTAGTGATGCTGCCAGGCAGCACACTAACCAGTTTGGAAATAACTTTGGGGGATGCATCTGGTATCTGGGAGATGAGTGGACACCAGTGCACTAGGGATGGCAATTTAGCTCTTGCCCACATCATTAAGTCTTAGTAACTGGTGCTCTTTTTTTGAATAGAGGTATAGTTGATTTACAGTGTGGTGGTAATTTCTGCTGTACAACAAAATGATTAAGTTACATATATACATATTTTTATATTCTTTCCCATTATGGCTTATCACAGAATACTGAATATACTTCCCTGTGCTATACAGTAGGACCTTGTTTATCCATTCTATGTATAATAATGAAGTTGGTTCAGAAGCCATTTGGGATGACAATAAAAGGCAGACATCGATACTGGATTGTAACATTGAACTCTTATTATATTTTCTGGTCATACCTTCGTGTTACCTTCCCCTGCTCTCTGGTAAACTAGAATAAGCAACATTTGTTTCTGCTCTGCTGTCTAAAGAACAATCTGTCTCTACAGCCATACTGTGAGCTTGCTTTCAGGATTATCTGTACATGCTCTGTCAATTTCCTTGATATCTATAGTTTCTAGAAGAGAGCAGTATCTCTTACCCCTTACCTTCATCAGAAGTACAGCTGCTCCATTAGTTCAGTCTGTTTATTCTGAACCTGAGATTCAAAGATGTTAATCCCTGCTAAACCAAAATCCATCCCTTTAGTCCATATCCTAAACTGAATGGTGGATAAACTCTGCAGTAAACAAGTTGGTCTCAAAGGCTACCACTTAGTTACCTGCCACCATAAAGATTCACTGACTTTATCCCCATTCTCAAACACAGCCTGCACAGCCAGTCCTGTCAAACAGCTCCTGGTATAAGCTAGTACAAAGGCCACAATAACTGCCTGCTGTCCCTCCTCCAGCGGATCTTCCTGACCCAGAGATCGAACCTGTGTCTCTTACATCTCCTGCATTGGCAGCCAGGTTCTTTACCACTAGTGCCACCTGGAAGCCCCAAGGTTATAAGCAAATCCCAGGCCTATTTCCCATGGTAAGCGGAGAATTCCATCAGGACCCTACAGGGAAGCAGCCAGACTAGTCAATAAAACGTTCCTATTTGAGTGGCGACTCACTCCCTTACCCTGTGAAATGCTGACTCTTTATATTCTTAATCTTGTTTTCTGTTTTGGGTGTCTCTTTCACTGTAGGTCCAAGCCCTCAGGACTTTTACATTTTCCTAGGTTTTATCCCTAATTTCTCCCTATCTTGGCTAAGTTATCTGTTAACATCAGTAGCAGAGAACAAACATGGATGTAACTCACTGATCCTATCTTTTTTCTCTATGGTCATTCCAAAATGTTGGTCGGCCAATGGAGCATTATTTATTTCTCACATTCACTGTAAGTCACCATTTTCTCCACAGAATTCTTCCAAAAGCTTTTTTTTTTTTTTAACAATTCTTTTAGACACGTGTGCCTGTTCTCAGGATTTAACTAATATAGACTCTTTTGCTCATATTGATCTTTCCAAATGTTCATCATGTAAACTTTGCCTTTTACATTTTTTACCTTCTGACTTCCTCACTGTTCATCCATCCTCAGTTTCATTATTATGTTCACATAAGATAGACATTTACACATACATACATAAAACAACTTTTTCCCCTAAGCAGATATATACAGCCTTACATCACAGAGACAGGCCAGAGACCACTTAATATGAAAAATTTAACTAAATTTTCTATGAAAAGTATGTTTAATGACACCTAATTGCTGCCCTGTCCTCCAAGCTGGACTGCAGTTTAAACTATCATGGGGAGGGGGAAAACAAGGGTGACTAACCTTTTCTATTAAAATAATCTTCCAAGAAGAGAGTTTATACACAACATTTCTAAGTAATGTATCTCATTATAATTTGAGCCTTTTTTACCACTACAAAATTCAGTTCAAAGATGGCATACTGTCACATTTCTTTAAAAAACTGATTCAGTAATAAAAATAAAGCATCAGTGTGATTAAACATCAGTGTAATTATTTAAACAGACAATATCTGTATCATTCTTAAGTTTGAGCATATGTTAGGTATGATGCAGTAATTCATAAATAGGTTTTTATGAAACTATTACTACTTATGGTACTTACCTTTAATCTGATGAAATTGTTTAACCAGATCTTTTATATCCAGACAAGAGTGTCCTGAAGAAATAAGTACAGGAAATGAGATACATAAAATTCCCAATTTAGAATGCTTTCTTGTTCAAAGCAACAAATGTATAATCTAAAGTAGTAACAAACCTTCTCGAAAGAGAATAAGTTCTCTGAAATAAACTGCTGCGAACTGGGTGATGTTTGGTGGATTGGTTTTGAGTATGGCTCTGCTAACTCCCTCAAGCAGAGTCTTGAGGCCATAAGGTACGACAAGTCTGGGCTTTGAAGAAATCATGCTGGCAGGATGTCTGTAATCTCAACTACAATGAAGAAAAAGCGTCTTATAAATAGTATGGAAGTTTATTATTGAAAATGCTATGAGTTAACTATAGTTTCTAAGAATAAATCTATTAAAATTACTAGTTTTAGTGCAGATCTCTAGGTATTTATTCAAGGAAAACTAATGTTTAATGGTAGTTTGAAAAATAAAAAAAGAACCATACTACCAACAACTTATCATGTGCAGATGAGCAATCGAGTACTGTTAAAGAAATCCATGGGAAAAGCCCTGCCAGCAACTCCAGGATGATACTAAAAACAACAAAAACCAGACAAAACCTCTTTTTACAAAATTCTCTAAGTATTTTGTGCAGTAGAATTTTAAGAAAGATAAATTAAGCTCATTTATTTATGCCAAAGAAACATCCTTCCAAACCACATGGGAACTGGCTTTTCTGTACATTCATCCAATAGAGTTATTACAAAGTAAATTTCTACAAGAAAATATTTTCCCCTCACTTTCCTAAGTATATCCCCAGACACACTGATCATCCTTAAGTGTATATATTTTAGCTTTAAGTTACTTGTGGTATTATACCACCCACCACCATTCATACCTCTTTTCTCCTATCTTCTCTTAACCTCTGCCCTAGTTTTCCTCTTCCCCCTTCTCTTGGCTTTCTGGATTTTAAGTGGTACCAAGGGCACTGCATAGTTTTACTGTGTAAAACTCTTAAGCTGCAGAGGTTGCTACCCTAAACTGTGTCAGTGTGTGAGTATGTGTGTTGTTTCATTCTAAAAACATTTAAGAAGGCTTATAAATACTCATAAAGAACAAAATAAAATATTTAAGGAATTCAGTTCAGTAGTTGAGGAAAATTATGGTAGGAAAAATAGGATTAAGCCACAGGTAAAGTTAGTATCCCAATACAAACCTTAGATCCTACACTAGAGATGGATTGTCAGATCAGCCTTCTGAATTACCAAGAAGCCATCACATAATAAACAGTTAAATGATTCAGGTTTCCTGAGATTAGAAAACAAATCAGATGCTTGGGAGAATCACAGCTATTCTGGGCACTGAGTCCCAGGAGAAATTTCTCCTATGGGTTCTCATAAAGAGAACAGTGTTAATCATGAACCAGGTCCTCAACAATATCTGTAGTAAATAAAATAATGAGTTTCATAGGGCTAAGTGACACAGTTCAGTTATAGCCATTATACAAGGGGCTAGCCTCTAATAGAAAGCAACTTAGGTGGCATAGCAAAATGCTGAATATTTAAACGAACATCTTCCTAAAGGTCAGGGGGAAAAAAAAGTTTTGGGGCCAAAGCAAAATCTTTGAGAACATAATTCATGATACCGTATTCAAGCCCCTAATGAAAACTATTAAGAGTTTCGTCCAACAGGAACTTCACTGAATTAAACCATCTTTAAAATAACTAGTGCATCTCTGGCAGGCCCACATGCTGAATGTTAAGGGACATAGGTAGTAATTAAATGGATGACATGTACATTTCATATGTATGTATTTCTTAAAGGATATCCTGTGCACCCCAGTGTGAGTTGGGTAGACAGGTCGTGTTTTCAAAGTGCCTTACCAGGAACCCCGACAGCTAACTAGTCAGCACTCGGTGCTGCCAACTGTGAGGAGAGCGCCCTCCCCATCCACCCCACCCCAGACTTTGCGAATGTGCGGGGTATTTAGCACCCCAGGACCAAGGAGTCTATATCCTGCAATGCAGTGCCTTACAAAGAATCGTCCTGAAGATGAGGAATGACCGTGATATAGATCGTACCTACATCACTGGGTAAAGTCACACATAGGGCCGTTGAGGGTTGTGTAAAATGACAGCTTATTAGTTTTCCCCAAACTTCTATTTGACAAATATTTGTCTAAAACCAACATATTTTACAACCCCCACCCCCACAGAGGAGTAACGCCTGAGCAGGAAAGGCGCCTTTGGCTGAAGATGCGAGATTAGGGGGCTTCGGAGTCACAGGAAACGTCAAGGGTACCCACCACTCACTCCCTAAAGACTGCGCTGGGTGCTCGTTTTGGTTGGTTTGGTGGAAACGGCAGAGACACCTGGGAAAGCAGGCGTCCCGATTCCACACCGACTACTTCGGCGGTGGCGGACCCGCCGACCGGGACCCCGGACCCCCAAATCCGCCCCAACGGCGCTGTCCGCCTCACTGGCGGAAGCGGGGCCGCCCCTCCCCGCAGGTCTCCCGCTCCCCAGACGCTAGAGGAACCTTTCAGCAACCACACCGCGCTCGAGAGACCTCGAGGGCCTAACTGCCGCCAAGGCGCAAGGAGGTTGGGGCGGCAGGGGGGGTTGGGGGGGTCTTTCCTCCAGACTCGCCCCACCTTCTCCTTTCCGGCTACGCTCCACTGAGCTTCCTCCTCGCCCCCTTGCCGGCGGCTCCTGGAGGAGACAGGGCTCCCGGCAGGGTCTTTTATACCCCTGGGGGACGTCAGTCCTACGTCACAAAGCCCCACCCCCAATGAGGCTCTGATAGGGCGCGGAAGGAGACGGGAGTTTGGCGGCCACAGCCAATGGCGAGCCGAGAGAGACAAAGGTCGGAACTCCGCAGAGCAGGGGAGTGCTTCGCCTTTTCAAGCAGAATACAAAGGGGCATAGGAAACTGGCGTCTCCACACTGTAACAGGATCTCCAGTTTCGGTCTAGCTTCGAAGGAAACAGATTTACGGCAGTTTTGTTTTACTGTCACTGCATCACACTACTCACCCCCTTGTCCCCCTTATTCTGTTGCTCTCTACTTACCTTTTTGAAGAAAAATTCTGCCGATGTACACAACACACACTGCTACAATAATAGGATGCAGCACAGCACTCTCAGGAAACATGCCTGCTGAGAGAGAATTTGGCATTGATCCTGAATCTTCCTGTTTCTCGTAATTCCGGATCTTGCAATACTTCAGGCACTCTATATCCTTCCCAAACCATACCATCAGCTGCAGGTTGCAAGTCCATAAGGACCGTGTGTAACTTTAGCTCCCTTTTACCCAAGTGAAACTGACTCCTTCAAGATACCCTCTGCTTTTTTACCCCGTTCGGGCTCTAATATTTGTGCTGGGCATTTAAATACCATCGGAGTCATAATGATCAAATTCCAAGCAGCCTTCGTTGTAATCCATTTCCACATGTTTAAAAAGCAACAAGAATCACTGTAAATCAACGATTAAATAACATCATCAGGGCATGTATCTGACAAAACTTTAACTTCAGACAAAATGAAGACTACCAGAGCACGTTGCAGTAACAAGCAATGTTAAAACCCTGGCATACATCTATACTGCACACACCACTTTATGAGAATATTAATTTGTCCATTACCTATTACTGAGTGCCTGTTATGTGGCAGACAAGCCCCTCCTTCTTATGAAGATTACATTTTAAAAGAAGAAATGCTCTTTTTGTGTGACTTTGAGTGTGATGATTAGATCTGCAGGTGGTACAGTTTTTGGTCCTCATCGCTGTCTCCTCGTCCCCCTCCCCCAGACTTCATAGTGTAAGTAAAAGTGAAATGAAAGTGGACGATTCCTTTCCACTTGTTCAGTTTATATTTAATGATCAAAGGTGTCATGACACCGAGCTAAGAACTCCAAGTACAAACATTAGATATCTCATTTATGGTGACTTTTGGAATGAGGGACATATACTTACGTCATCTAACCAAACTTGGTCGGTCACCTTGAACACCGATTAGGTGTTATGTACTGTGCTGAATATCTGCAACACAGAAGGCAAGCCTATATACTTTTTCCACATTTCTGCAATGACTGTTCTGTCCAAGTTCCTCTGAAAAGCAAACTGTTACAGCAAAAGCACTTAACAAATTTTAAAACCTCTGTCTGCTGCTTGGTTTCTAGAACTCTTAGTGATCATGTGGCTTTACAATCTTCTTGTCTTTGTGTTCATCTCTTTCAGTCACTGGGGATCTAACTAAAATACAAACCTACTTTGTTCTCCATTGCTCCCCATCCCTCCCTGCTTCAAATCCTTACTCTATAGCAATCCACAGTTCTTGCTGTGACCTGTGTAACTATCTCATCTTACCATCTGGTTTCCACTTGACCCTCAAGAGACTGGACCTGAAGACACATGCTGTTTGTCACTCTGTGCCTCTGCTCATCAGGTCCAAGGCCTGAGACATCCTTTCAGCCGTAATTTTCACATGACTGCATCTTTCTCCTCCTCTAAAACTCAGCTCAGCAATCTCCTACTTTAGAAAACCAAAGGGTTACAAGCATTTTTTCCAGCCGCCCTACAATATATATAACTCTGCCATATAGTTGACTCTCCTCTCAGATTTACTAAATACTTACCAAAAGATAACCTAGGCCCCTCTCTCTCTAATGTATTCTATCTGCATTAGACTTATCCTAGGAGTCTGTTAAAAAGGTCTCCCTAAGGCCCTACTTTAGTTCAATCGCTCAGTCGTGTCCGACTCTCTGTGACCCCATGAACCGCAGCACACCAGGCCTCCCTGTCCATCACCAACTCCCGGAGTCTACCCAAACCCATGTCCATTGAGTTGGTGATGCCACCCAACCATCTCATCCTCTGTCGTCCCCTTCTCCTCCTGCCCTCAATCTTTCCCAGCATCAGGGTCTTTTCCAATGAGTCAGCTCTTCGCATCAGTTGGCCAAAGTATTGGAGTTTCAGCTTCAACATCAGTCCTTCCAATGAACACCCAGGACTGATCTCCTTCAGGATGGACTAGTTGGATCTCCTTGCAGTCCAAGGGACTCTCAAGAGTCTTCTCCAACTCCACTGTTCAAAAGCATCAATTCATCTGTGCTCAGCTTTCTTTATAGTCCAACTCTCACATCCATACATAACTACTGGAAAAAACATAGCCTTGACTGGACAGACCTTTGTTGACAAAGTAATGTCTCTGCTTCTTAATATGCTATCTATGTTGGTCATAACTTTCCTTCCAAGGAGTAAGTGTCCTTTTTTTTTAATTTCAAGGCTTCAGTCACCATCTGCAGTGATTTTGGAGCCCCCAAAAATAAAGTCAGCCACTGTTTCCCCATCTATTTGCCATGAGGTGGTGGGACCAGATGCCATGATCTTAGTTTTCTGAATGCTGAGCTTTAAGCCAACTTTTTCATTCTCCTCTTTCACTTTCATCAAGAGGCTTTTTAGTTCTTCTTCACTTTCTGCCATAAGAGTGGTATCATCTGCCTATCTGAGGTTATGGATATTTCTCCCGGCAATCTTGAGTCCAGCTTGTGCTTCTTCCAGCCCAGTGTTTCTCATGATGTACTCTGCATATAAGTTAAATAAGCAGGGTGACAATATACAGCCTTGACGTCCTCCTTTTCCTATTTGGAACCAGCCTGTTGTTCCATGTCCAGTTCTAACTGTTGCTTCCTGACCTGCATACAGATTTCTCAAGCCCTACTTAGAAGCTACTGAATTAGTATCTCGCTGTAGTTGTAAAACTACAACTTGAGAACCACTCCAGAGTCCATCTAAGTTACAAGTGTGTTGCTTCTATTTAATATCCTGATCAACTAAGAACTCAGCCCCCTTGCTAGTTTTTCACAAGTTAGCCAAGTAGGTGAATTGTGCTCACTTTAACTGAAGGAGCCCACCTTTTAGGAACTAACTTTCCCTTTTCTTGTTCTCCCTTCCCTGTCCTTTTCTCTTTCTAAGTTTTCTAAGTATTTCCTCTTCCTAAGTTCAAGTTCAAGCCTCCCACCCGAACTATGTCTTTTCTTGGGAGGATCTGGGCCTAAAAAGATTTTTTCTATAAAATAAAACCCTGGTGGCCCAGCGGTAGACTCTGAACTTCCACTATATGGGGCATGGGTTCAATTCCTGGTCAGGGAACTAAGATCCCACATGCCAAGTGGTGGGGCCAAAAAATATGTAAATAAAATGTAGAAACAACATCCAAACAAACACTAAAAAGACATAACAAACAAAACATGACTGTGTGACCATGTATCTTCATAGGTAGGGATCCATATTTGAATACTTGCCACCACAATCTGCTTAGGGAAGCAATCAACTATGAAAGTTTACATAGCAAAGGAGTGTGTGTGTGTGTATTGCAAAAAACCACGTATGCACTGTCTTTCAATTTTAGTTGGCAGAAAGATAAAAATGCAAATTCTCTAAATAATTGACTTACACAATATAGGACAATAAATATTCTAATTTTCTGTCACATCTGAAAGTAATAACTCTTTACTTAGCTATCATGTGCTAAAATCAAAAAGATACCTATCCCAATAAAAGTAAAATCTTAAATACATCACAGAGGTACATATTATTATGACTAGACCATGCCTCAAAGTGTGTCAGATTATAATTGTGTTCTAAGTACAGAAAATATACATTAGAGATTTCTCTCATCATAGGCACAATCTAATACAAAAATATATCTGACACTTATAAATTAGAAGGTCCACTTGACAGTCTCCAAAACAGGAAAAGGGGAAGGAATAATGCCAACATTAATAAAGCACACACAGATGCAAACATGATTATTGATTATTTTCTTCATCAGAGAAGGGTAAAGAGCAATTTACACCAAACAAGGTTTCCAGGCAGATAACAGTAACTCAAAGGTTGGATAAGTCATGGCACGCAGGCCAGACTGTTATAAATTACTCCACTCAATGTACTCAGATTTCAGTGAATCTAACGGCTTCGTGTACTCAGCGCAGTTTTGTTATTTTACTATTTTCAGAACCACTGTCTACCCCTCTCGGAGCTCTACCACCAGGTTCCCAGATAAACCGCCAGGGCTATCCTGCATCAAACCTAGCAGAGACAGTTTATAAACAGATCTATAAATGGACTAGTAAAGACGGCTCACTGAACAGTGTTGCAATCATGTGTATTCAGTGAAGTGAACTGAACACAGATTTATTTGAAATCCTGAGATCTCTCTGGAAAAACAAGAAGTTTTAAAGCAGTTAAAGCAGAAAAGTATGGAGCCTTATGTACTCTTTTACTACTGAATAATAAGTAGTTTGAACAATACCTGATCTGAAAATTCAAGTAAGTATGAATACTGGAGCAAGAACGTCATTCTTCCAAACGCTCCACAATCGTAACTGAGAAATCTGCCATGTAAACTATAAGCAAGAGGACATGAAAATGGCGAGAGCCATATTTTAAAGATTGATAACATCCTTTCCTTCAAACCAGGTATCTAAAATTTTTAGACACCAATTTTTCCCTTCAGAAGGCATCTACCTGGCTCCTGGATCTTCCCGTTCATGAAAGTAAGTAGGCATCTTTTCTTTCTGGCTAGCATCTAAAACCCATGCAGCAGTCCCACTAGAAAGAAAGTCAACGTTAATAAGCATTTTGTAAGGGAAAAAACATGAAGCAAGTTCAGCCAAAGTCAGTGAGGAGAAAGCATTTTTTTTTAAGAAACTATTATTCCCTCAAAACCTGGTTAAGTAGATTAAAGCTGCCAAAGCTCTAGCTGATCCTCCCATGTTTGTTTTTAAGTGAAATATTAAAACTGTTGATATTCTATGAGATCATACTTCAGCTAAAAGGATATGTAAAATTAAATGACACCCCAAGAGAATATTCTATAGGGCACTGGAAATTTTAAAAGTAACTACCCTTAAGATTGATCCAGGTTAGTCACAAAATGATGACATAAATTCTAACATGACTGAGGTATTTAGATTCTTGGAAAACACAGGTGTGCAGTACTGAACAAAGAGGTAAATTCAATGACACTAAAAATTAGCAACAAAGGATTAAAAAATAACTTTGAAGTCTATTTACAATATCAATCACCTGAGCTAAGGGGAAAGTGATTAAATCCTGGCAACAGACAGCCCAGCAAATCCTTCACCAGCAAATACTCTGAGGCAAAAAAAATCTGTGTGCTTTCAAGAACAGCCTTTTCATGCAATTTGCTGAAAAAGCTCCAAACCTGGAAATTAGACAATTAATCACAAAGGAAGGGAAACCCCTACATTGCAGGTATCATTAATCCTGTTTGTAGTCTAGCTCTTCTAATACATTCACAAAACAGCTATACTGTGGGCTGTAAAACTATCTTCTATTCGCTTTTATGTTATTGGCTTTCAAAGGGAAAAAAGTATTTGTCCTTTGAAGCATTTTTGTAGACAATCTGGAGATAAATATTTTGATGACATTTCAGCTGAGAAGTATTTTTTTTTTAAAATAAGGAAAACATGGAATTCTGGGTTATTAACATATTTGTTTTTACAATAAAAGAATTATTTGGTCTGTGGTCAGGAGACCTGCATTCTATTCAAGACTCTATAATAAGAGGAATAATTAATTGGAATAAGTCAATTTGCTTTTTTGTGCCTGAGTCTCATTTTCTGGACAATGGAGATTAGAATATCTGTGCTGTTACTCACTGGAATAGTTTGAGGATAAAGTAAAACTGGAAAGCATTGCTATTTTTTCAAAACACAATATAAATGCTATGTTGTGATACTGTTAATAATTTTGCAGGTACTTTGTGTTACCCAGTCAGATGTGTGCTTCAGGTAGGCATTCCTACAAGATCGCAGGTTGAATATTTAGTTTACTTTTATTTTAAAAATAATAAATCACAAAACTAAAATGTTTGAACAAGGTCACTTAACCCTCTCCCCGGGTGGTTAGTTATTATTACTACCATCATCATCATCTTTTTTTTTTTAAGCTATGTGTTTAAAAGAGGAGATCTTTAATACATCAGCCTAACTGAGGAAATGTGTCCTGGGCCCAGGTGGTTTTCGGAAGAAAAGCTGATCTTCGTAAGAGCAGTGTGCTCTGCTTTTAAAGTGCAGAACCTGTATTGGGGAGGGACACAGCAGGAACTTGGGGTCTGTCACTGAGGAACCAGTTCCCTCATTGAGGCCAGGGCAGCATGAATGCGGACATGCAACCTGTTTTCAAAGTCGTAGCCAGAGAAATCCTCCTGCAAGACCAGAGAGAGAGACTATTAGCTAAGCTGTCAGTACGACTACAGTATTAATCACACCGCACTGTGTGCTTCCCACAGTCAAACTCCTTATGCGCCTAATAACGGCTTCACATTCACTTGATTTTTTTTTTTAATTCCCCAAACTTCAAATTCTTCTGTTTTTAAAATGTCAACTGAATGTTATTAAATGCTGTCTTTGGAAAATTTCCCTCATGTTATTCCTGAGACAGCAGTCTGAAGCTGGGCTCAGTGGAAGTTACTGCTAAACTTCTTAACTCAAGAACACAGCTGTGAAATCAAGTTATTTTCCCACTCAAACAAGAAGAGTTTCTATAAAGCATGATGAGCAATTTCATAGGATTTTTTGTGTGTAATTTTACTTAAAAATCAACTGCTCACTGATTCAGTTATGACTTTCCCCTCCAGAAATATTATCAACCAGGACAATCGTTTCATTTTTACCTTTGCTTGAAGAAGGAGAGCTCTGCCTCTTCCTATAGTCTATGAATATAAGAAAAATACATTATCTCTTAACACCTA